TCATTTGTTTGTGGTTTTGTTTTGTTTTATAGTTTGTTGTATTGGGACACTCTCTTTTGAATATTCTGAAATTTTTAAAACAACTTTGTTCTAGCCCTATTGTTAGTATTATAACTAGTTTTAATTACGAGTTTATTTTTAGGTCATTTGATGGCATTAGGTTAACGAACCAAAATGGTTAGACAGAACGTCTCCACTAAAGACACCGAACAGATCTTATTATAATTAAGATATTTGTAAAAGTAAATTAGACTAGAAGTGATTATGCTAATCGGTTCCCATTGCAATGCAGAGCATTCAAAAATTACTCATACGCAGCGTAATACAATTAGTAATTATTATTATGTGAATAATTATTATTGTTATTAATATTTTTATCTCATTACCTTTTTATTGTTGTATAATTACATATAATTACACCTATCTTGGACTTAATATACAATAATTAACTAAAAGTGATTAGCGGGCTTATCAAGAATCATAAATGTTTTTTAATAAATTAATAAAAATTTATTACTCATGTGTGATTCTCATAAATATATATACATATATGTGAATATCCAAATGTGTGCCCGTATTTACGATGTATTTTTCACATTTATTTGGCGCTTGTTTGGGCAAATTTCGCATGCCAATTATTAATAGTTTACACATTGTTTATAATTTTCACATTTCGATACGATTTCAATTTCTGTTTGTGTCTGCAACAGAAGAATTACTATACAGATTGTTTGTGGCATAGTTTCGTAAAGCTCATATGTTTACCCCTAGCAGCAAGGCATATGTAATTATATCTATATATATATATATATGTATACATATTACATTATATACGAGTGGTTTGTTGTTTGTTAGCGTTGGCATAACTGAATTGTTGCCCCATTCGCTCATTAATTCTTATTCGACAAATTTTCTTTAATTCAACGGGATCTCATAAAATTTGAATTACTTTAATAATTGTGATTAGCTTTGCTTTTTCCCAGTAGTAAATGCTTAATTGTAGTACAATATTTTTGAATATGTATGCATAGGTGTTATCTTGAATGAATATTATTTTCTACATTTTATAATATTTCTTGTTATTATTCATTAAAGAAATTTAATATTGCTTTACAAGATATTACAAGTTATTTTATCTCTCTCATACAACTGTTTGTTGTTTGTTTATATCAATATGTAGTTAGTTGTTAGCTTTATAACGTTTGCCTATTTTATTGAGATAAAGATTTGTGTTTAGACATGTGCCCAAAGCTACTAAATGAAATTTAACAAACAACAAACAACAAATGTAAATACAGCTTAAGTAGCTATAACAAATAAACACATTCTCACACACATATTTTTTGGGATAGGTCATACTTGAGGAGCAGAGGCAGCTCTTTTAGCTTTTATTGAAGTTGACCTTCTGTGAAAATCAAGGTAAGCCTAACCAAACTGAACCTGTTGCAAGCAGTTTAATTGTCACTTACTGATTAGCACCTGATGACAGGCTTGAGTGCGAGTGCTAGTGCGAGGCAATTTGTAGCTTTTTTTTTTTTTTTGAAGCCACGTGGGCTGCCGTATCTAGCTAGCCAAGGGTTAAGTTCGTCTAATTAATAGAGCCAACAGTTCGCGAAACAAACAAATTGATTATCTTACAGCGCAAATGAAATGTTTAGTTGACAAGTCGATCGAACTGTATATGTCTATTGGCTAATTGGTGAACTTGTAAGAATACCTATATCTCTATTTTGCCATAGCCAATAAATATTAAGCATTTCATTAATAAGGAATCCGGTGTGCTTCGGTTTTAATATCAGTTTGGGGGTCGCGAGCTCGCTTAGTGGCCAAAGTCGGCATTTGTCAATTAGCTGCGGCTATTCGGACTACGCTTACGCATATGGAATACAAAAACAATTACAAACATTATTTCACACTCGATTATTAATTGAATTAACTGCTTTATACCACTTTAAAAAGGTTTCACTTTGGCGCATCCGCACAGATCGACAAGTATCTAGATACAATCGCTTCCACAGAGAACGGAGCCTTTGTCATTTCAATTATTAATGTTTGTCGCCGGCGCGAAGAGATCGAGATAATATTAATTGAATTCCTTGCCAGCAGAATGGATCGATGTTAATATATCAATTTATCTATCTGAAGCCACTTAGTAGACCCATGAAGATCTGTAGTCTCTCTGTTAATGAGTTATATAAACAATAACAGAGATAATAACAGTTGCGTCTAGGTCTAAAATATAGTGAAATGTGAAATGTGCGGCCAAAACTTGCTATATGATAGCTCGAAATTCTTTAAGAGATTAATTATATTCCTTAAGTTACTGATCCATTTGCTATGTAGCTCATGTCTTATATTTCCCGATGGATTATGTATTATTAAGGAATAAATTCTTAAAATTTGCCTTAAGGATCTGCGTATTATCGTTTAAATGTTATGAGAAAAATAAGTATATAAAATTTTAGTTTTTAATATTGGAAAATCAGAATAAAAATTTTCAGCACTTAATTCGTGTAAGTAAATTAATTATTTGTAGCTTAGAATTTAGAATATTGCTGATCAATGCAGGCGGCTGCTGCTGTTTCACACACAAACGCATTTCAATCTGGACTTTGATTGGGCACCTGTGATGGGGATTTTTTTTGTGTTCTGTGCTCCAACACAGTTAAATCATTGTGAGTTAAATACCCTGTATGTATTGCCAAAGTTGCACAAGAGACAGTAGCTACGTTTCCTGCAAGTATATGAAATGGTCAAAAGCAGTGTTACACAATCTATATCTACTAATTCGGGATTCTTAAAAAGTGTTGTTCGACAATAAATATGGAATATTTATTCTCGCATATTAAATGCAATGAATTAAGAAATATTTTTAATAATCCATTACATTTGCATTGTAATGGTTTTCATAATTTTGGGGTATATAATAATGATAAGCTAGCGATTCTATTGTTAGATAGAAAGTAAATACATATAATTTAATATGTAGGGTAATTCCTAGTCGAGCACCCTTCGAGTAGTGCAGATTCACTTGATTTTTGTTTTTGCAAGCCAGATAACGAAGCATCACCCAGTCATTAAGGGGTCCGATTCGAACCGCTTTGGTGCAGTTACAACTTGATCAGCGCCGACTCGTCTGGACGGCTATTCAGTTGGCCGACTGCTTGGCTGGTTGCCTGGCAGTTATTGTTTTTGTTGTTGTGTCTGCCTGACTGCCGTGCGGCAAGTGTGACAATTAATAAGCTAAATAGTAATGCATATAATATGTGTAAATTACAAAACACTATGAATAATCCATTGTTTAATTGTATTAATTATATAATTGAATATTTTTAGACAAGTTTATTATTCGCACAAAACCAATGAATTTACTCAACTGTGGGATACAACTTCTTTCCTTCTGTTGAATCTGTATCATGAACAAATCTGTCGGGAAGTAAATAGAGAGCTTTTTATCCTTCTTTCTTTATTGAGACAGTTTAATACAAAATGTTCAACTTCAATTTTTCCTATAACAGATCCATTTCCCCTAATAAACTAGTCAGCTGATTAAAGAATTATATTCGAAATTTAACGAATTTGAACATCTCAGGATTGGAGTATAACAAAGTCGATAAATAACACTCTCAATATTTTATTGAAATGACCTGTTTCTTTCAGTCCAGATGATTTAGGTTCTGCACTGCCTCCTTTATTGCAGACTTTCTCTAGAATTTTTTCCTTTTCGTTTTACTTAAATCTTGCTAAATGGGTCAACCTTTCTAACTTAACGGTAAAGTCAGCTTTCTTCGCATCAGTTATTTATTGATCATTAAGGCTCATACAAATAGAGGTTTACTTTGCTAAAGAAGTGTTTCATTAATATTAATATTGGGCTTACGGTCTCGAATTTGAAGGACTCTTGAATTAAATTACCTGTGCCGTGTATAATAATCGAGTATAATCGATAAGAGGTGAACTAACTAAATCTGGTGTAGACTGTGTCATTGCCAAGGGTGTTGTTGTTATCGAGATAGCGGTACCTTACCTTTGATATTGATTATACTCTTATCATTCAATTACTTGTATACTGTCTTATCCCAAACTTGATTTTTTCGCTTACCTTGTATTTTATGTAACAGCCAAAAGCACATGAATTATATACGTTTTTCAGCAGGACAAACGGGCGGAGAGGCGGTCGAAATACAGACAGAATGATAAGGTAAGTCCACGCTTAGTCTGACAGTTGGTAAGATCTACATATAGGCAGACAGAAATACAACGCCCTTTATTGTTACCTTTTTTTCACAGTGTGTATAAACAGAAATCTACAGACCTAAGACTGTAATAATAGACAGTAGAATTAATTTTACGTACTTGGGTTCCTTTTCAAAAAATACAAACAAAAACTTGTTTTAAATTAATATTTTTATCTAGTATAAAGTGCATATTTATAAAAATCTTGTATACTTATTTGAATATAGGATGCTCAACTGAATATATGTAAATGCAAATGTTTTATGTTCTTTAGACTCTTAAGAACTATATATACATATACCTATATGAATATATCTTTAAATATTTTTCAATAAATCAAACACAAATGCATGAAGCCATCAATCATCATTATTGCCAAGGCGGAAAATATTCATTTAGCTTGTCAGTCATTAATTGGAATGCTCGGATTTGAATAAATGTATTGAAGAGCGGCCTAAATATAAAAAAAAAAAAGAAAAAGAAAAAAGGAAATGTGCAATATGGAAAATATTCAATTACTTTAATACAATCCAGACAGGGAATTGCGTAAATTTGTTTATTGCTAAAGGTGCTTCGATTGGAAAAGGAAATGGATGTCAATCATCGGTGATTGAATGTATAGGGAACAAAAGAGACGAGAGATTTCAATTGTATTAAATATTCATTTATTTATATTCTGTTTGGCTTGGCATAAATAGTTTACACATTCAAAACACTTAAAATTCTGTTTCCACCTATTTGAGTAGCTCGAATGTTTTTTTTTAAATATTTTTATTTATTTTAATTCACATTGATGCTGTTAACTTTCACACTTAAGATTAGTTAGACATTTGATGTATGGAGTTGTAGTGACATTTAAATTTTATTTAATTTTTTTAGTTCACATTTAAGTATTTTAATTTAGTGTATGGCGTTGACTTGTTTAGGTGTCTCATTCGAGTTGTTGATTTAAATGGATCTGATTCATAAACTCTGCCAATTAATAAAAAAAAAAAAAAAAAAGCAACAAAAACCAGCGACAGCTGTTCGCATGTTTTTGTTTGAATGCTAGTTTATAATGTATAAAGGTTTTTAAAGGTTTTTGTTTTGTTTAGTGAATTGTATAAATTGTATTCGTATATTTTGAAAATCGGAGTTTTTTGTTGTGAAAAATCGTTTTCAAATTCAAGTATCGTTAGTACACCTTGTAACAATGGGTGGGTATTCTGATGATCGTTTCATATGCACTACAATTCGATCTACACAGATAACAACAGACAGTTAGACCTAGATAGATAGATAGATAGATAGAGATATTCATATTTAGATTTTGGGAGATTTGCTAAAGCGGGCATACATTGAGTGAGTTAGCGATAAGCAGTTATGGTCAATTCGACATGGAGCTCAACAAATTCCTATTCTCATCTATTGAAAAACTACACAAACTTAACGTCCATCAAATAAATGCCGACTATATAACAATACATATACACATATATAAATACACGAGACGCATTGGATCATGTCAGAGAATCTCTTGATATATGCGTACATAAATAATTAATTACTAATTTGGCAAAATATATAATATGTATATATACATAAATATGTAATCTAACTTATATGGGGCCAACGCCGTCCATTGGTTTGGCTTGTAAATCGTCAGGTATTGAGCAATGAGATATATGTATGTGTATATATATAAAATCATGGATAACATTAATAATACTTATTTGTTTTCGTTTTTTCGTTTTTTTCTTTGGTTTCAAAAATGTTAACTTATACGACCAGATGCGATACGTCGCTGGTGTAGCCCGGCGAGTAGCGCGGTGGCAATGGATTCTGTTGGGGTCGTGTCCTGCCCAGGCCCAGCTGGCCGGACTTGGTCAGATCGTAGGGGCGGCGTATGCGTAGCACATCGGCCGCATCGCCTGGCCAGGCGCGCTCCGGTCCCAGCCGCTGGCCCAGACGCGGATAGCGACGCTTGTCCACGGCCAGGCTGATGGTGCCTGGCGCATGGCTGGCCATCAGACCCACGTTGTACTGTCGCTGCATCGCCAGCGAGGCGCGTATGGTTTTGCGTTTCTATAAATGAGAGAAATGAGAAGGATTTGCCGTCGATTTCTAATCCAGCCTCGGGGCTTACCTCAATGGTGCCGCGCCATTTGTCCGCTGCGTGACGTGCAATGTCCAAGCGCTTTTGCTTCTTCACCTGATGCTTCTTGTAGATCACCTCAATGATGATCAGACATACGCCGCCGGCTATGCCCACGCCCACCAGTATGAAGACGCCCGCCATATTCTTGAGGCCCAGCGTGTTTGGCGTCTTCTCAAACAGTTCGCAGTTCTGTTGGACGTGCCCATGGAAGATCCACTGTTTGTCCAGTTTCTCCATGAAGCCGCCTGCGCAATAAGTACTTGAAGAGAGGTCTTATTGTGTTTGATAGCTCAACTCACTCTCATGAAACTCGAGTATGGCCAAGGTGACAGCGTCTGTCCAGGGCGAACCCTTCTGCAGGCCAATGCCATAGCCGCTGCGGCCAAAGAGCTCGCCAGCCGTGACCAGCTCACAGTCCTTGGAAGCCTCGTACTCCAGGCGAGACGAGTCCCAGATGAAAGCCATTAGCTTGCTGCAAGGGAAAGTTTGGAAGTATTAAAATCGAGGTAAGTCCAGAGCGAGTTTTGGTTGTACGACATATAGGAGATTAGATAAAATTCTTTTGTTTTTTTAAGAAAATTTAAAGATTTTAGAGAATATTTAAAGATTTAGAGGTTTCGTCAAAATACGAGTACAATACGAGTATGAGTACGATTACTACGGCTACTGAAGAGAAAGAGAGAGAGAGAGAGAGAGAAAGTGAGCGATATATATATTTATAAAGGGGGAGAGACAAAAAGAGAGTGGTAAGAAATTGAATTGAGTGGACAGAGTGAAGAGTATCATTGTAGTAGTAGTTGTTGTTGTTGTTGTTGTAGTTGTTATTAGTTGCGGTGGCAAAATCATGCGACTATTTCAGCTATATGGTAAACAAACACTCGAAGCGATCTTCGGCTCGCTAGCAAGTTCAGTTACCCCTTCTTCACGTCCTGAATGGCCTGTTCGGCAGTGACATAGTTGTTGGACTCCATGGTACGGTACATGTTCGATAGCTCCACCTGTCGCCGGAAGTACATGTCCACCGAGGAGCCTTTGACCGTCGCACAGGTGAGATTCTCCATGGTGTTGCGCAGACGCGCATCGTTGATGCCGCTCAGCTTTGTCTTGGGCCGCTCCAGCACGAGGAAGGCAGCCAAGTTGGCAGTGTAGGAGGCAACTATGATCATGGCAAAGCCGGCCCAGACCATGCCCAGCACCCGGGCCGAGAAACTGCGCGGTGTACCCTCGCCAATGCCGCTGTTGAGCAGCACGCCCCAAGCGAACCAAATGGCGGAGCTGAGATTCAGCGCCTTCTCCTCGTTGCTGTCCGAGTGCGAGAGCTTGAAGCGTCCAAACGGTGAGAATCTGAGTATTAGAGAATCATTTAGTTAGAACGAACATATGCTCAATTGTCCAACTGGCTAATCCATGGCTAAGTGATGTCTGGGGAGGATATTGTACGAGAGGATGTTCGCTCTGATGCTCGCTGATCTTTAACCGTCAAATGCAACGAGCCCTTTGTCCAAGCCATCACTCAATCGGTATTAGGGTTTGTGTCTGGGACTCTAATTGCTTAGGTGAGGTGAACTCATAGATTACGCACCTGTCCAGTAGATAAAGCACGAGCGCCACAACATGAACCGACACCATTACCAAGATCCATAGCGTGTTACTAAATGGCTGCAAGAAAGACACAAGAGTACTCGATCGGGACGGTTTCTTCTCGAGTATTGTAATGCCTTGGTATTTGAATGGTTTCGAGAATTCGATATACTCAGCACGCTCCGGATTTATGGTTAGTGGTGCGACGATCATGCTAAAAATATAGAAATCACAAAGTAAATTCTGTCAAAGTTAAATGATAGAAAAAGCTACACTCAGAAGAATAATAAATGAACTTTGTATAGGAAATATGTCTTCTTTAAGGAACCTTCATTTCCTACTCAATAATCCATTCTATATGGGATGTAATTCTTGTTTCTACACATGTTTTTCTCTGAGCGTAGACGCTTGAGCTTACTCGGCACGTTCATTGACCAGCTCCCCAATCAGACCCGTCCACTCCTTGCGCAGCGTCATGGCGCCCGTGTTGTTCCTTAAGATGTAGTGTCCGAATTGGCCATCCGGCGACAGGGCCAGGTCATAGGTAAAGTTGATGCGCTTGGAGAGCTCAATCAGCAGATCGATGCAGTAGCCGCGACAGCAAAACTCATTGGCTGCAAGCGGAACAGAAGGTTCAGCGAGAGGAGTGGAGTGGAGTGGATTATGATGACATTTACCTGTCGCATCGCTGGCATTGAAGAGCGGACAGGGCCGTTCGTCTGGCTCGCAGCGGAACTCGTCGTCGCCCATGCGTCGCACATAGACAAACGGCTTCTCCTCGATGGTCAGCACCTTGAGGTGTGTGGGAATCATGATGCCCTCCGGCTTGCGCCTCTGCTTGCCGCCCCAGATGATCTGGCTGTCATTGATGCGCATTATCATTTTCGCCTTCAACTGAATCGGAAAGTTGGGGATGTAAGGCGGTCAGTGTCCTAGTCGGATTAATAGATTCACTCACGCTATCGTAGCTGAACTTGCCCACAATGTGCTGCTTCTGGTGGTCCCGTATGTTGATCACATCGTAGCCGGCATAAATCCGGTCCCCGTTGTCATCGAATGCCACTTGACCCGTTTCTCCCGTGATATTTCGCGACTTCAGGTACTGAAAGAGTCGCTTGCCTGCGATGCGCGTTTAATGATGCATTAATGGACTTTCCCGAATGCTGTGCCATGTGCTTAATACCCACCTGATTCCCAGTTGACAGCCGAATCGCCGCAGTCTTTGGGTGCCTCAGCTATAGTCTCATTCGAAATCATCTCCTTAATGGCTGAGGCCAGCACATATACGCTGTCCTGCAAGTCGGCAATCCGGCGACAAGAATAATGAATAATTCAACTATACGGTCGAGCTCCCTTGCCCACACTCCACTTACCCTAATGTGTCCCTTGTCACTGTGGGCGTGCTCCAGCTGCAGACCGAGCGCCCCGTCCGGCGTATTCTTTGCATGCAGCGCCTGCTCCGTCACAATCCACACATGTCCCTCGCCAGTCATGTTGTATTCAGCAGCATCGCGGAATATCACTTGAGCGTCCTCGGTGCTGCGTATGTATATATAGAATACAATAATACAAGAATCTTAATGTGCCGAGGGATATGGACATAACGGCTACGTTTGTAATGAGCTGAGCTAAATTTAGGCGGATGTAGATGATTGAAACTTAAGCAAGAATTTAATGGGAAAATTTGTGCAACAATTCAAACGGAAAAAATGATTACTCAACTAAGTGTTATTATTTACCTGGCATAGACGAGATAGACCCTGGACTGTGCCGTCTTCATGTCTATCAGGTGCTCGGTAAAGCTTTCCAGTTTTGGCTCGAACTCAACAATCAATTCGACTGTCGCACGCGCATCGACATCGTCGTAGTAGGTCTGCGAGGTGGTCTGGAAACGGCCCAGAATTGCGCGTCCGTCCGTGTCGGAGCTGTGAATGATGATTACCTGTCGATGGAAATGACAATTCCGTGAGTCAACGTGTCATAACTTGGGCCAATCAACCGCTTACCTTGGTGTACAAAAAGTGACTGAGCATTTCGAGCCAAACATCCGCCTGATGGTAATAGGGGGGCACGGTGCGCAGGAATGAGACATGGATATTCTTGTCGGAAAAGGCCGCATCCCGCGAGGATATGCCAATGACTGGTATCGAATAGAAGCCGGTTGTATAGCTCACAGCTGCCGGTGACAAATCGCCTGAGGTTTGCCCATGCGAAACGACGACGGCGTACACCTGCCCAAGCGATACAAAATCAATGGAAATAAGCAATGCAGAAGGCAATCGGTAAGCGGGCAAAAGGGAAAAATAGGAGGCAAGGAACCGGAAACAGCAGCCAGAGGCAATCGCTAGACAAACGGAAGTGTAAATCGAATTGGGCGTCATCAGGACCTGCAATTGACTGCCAAAATAGATGTGCATCATTTGTTGGCAGCAGCAACCAGACTCTCCGCTCGAGACCTGACTGTGATTTGTACTCCCGGGTATCTAATGTATGGATCGAATGCTCAAATTTCATGATAAATGACAATTGCGCGTTGAGCATCCAAACACCCAATTCCAAATAGATTCGAATGGCGTGCACAGCTGAGTTATTTATGATTAATGGACACTGCGGGTATCCCTAGAATACTCTAGACTGAGTTAATTTAAGTTGAACAGAAATCTTTCTTGATGTAAGATTTTTATGTTTTTTGGTCCATAAATCGCACGGACTAGTTCGTTTCAAAGGAACGAAACATATCTTAGCAGACCGTTTAATATATGGCTGTCTCATTGGATTCCACTTAGGGCACGTCTATCTTAAAGGAAAGGCAAAAGGCAAAAAGGCAAACGCAATCGGGCGAACGAGCCAACGAGCCAAATGAGTGTATGTGATATGCACAGGCAAATTACCGTTTGTCATCGCCTCATTTCCGATTCATTTCCGTTTGAATTATTAAAATGAAAGGTAAAATGGACCCTAGCGCGGGGTGGCAGCACTGGCAGTGTCGTTCGGTAATTGTATTTGCGTGTTGCCAGGTGGAATGCAAATTTTCATTCAGCTGCTCTTGCTCTCATACTTACTCGCTTCTCAATTAGCTTGTCACAGACATTAAACACCGTTTTGATTGGGTTCTTATCCATGCGTATTGTCTTATCGTAGTAGGTGACTTTGCGTGGAACATATTGCTGGTCGAAATTGAGATGCTGCACCCGAAGAATGGAGAAATATGAAAATTACAAATCCACAATCCTATTAGACAAATGGAAAAGATAAACACGCTTACCGCTATTGTGGTGCGAAAGTGCTCCTCGCTTTCGGAACTGCTTAATACGCCGCCTATATTGTACGTTGAGGGATTATCCGAAGCTGTATGCCTTTGTCCTCCAATCGGCAGCACATTTACAATGCCAGCCGCACACAAAAGCCAGCGATAAGCGAGTGCAGCAGCCATATTGCTGCGAGTGGCTTTTTGTTTGCAAGTTTGAGGAAATGTAGTTATGTGTGTGTGGCGTGATGAAAACTGTGGCACCCCCCAAAATTAGCTATGCCCGGAGCATTTTCTGTAATAAAAATGTCAGACGATTAGAACTTTAATGTTATTTTCAAATTTCCCGCCTCTTGTAGCTGCCACTGTTGATCGTCAATGAGTAGTAGTACTAGTGTTGCCCAACCCATTGAACCAAGTGCTCATATGTTAATGTTAACGCCAATAATACTGCCAGACTTTTTGAAAATCGAACGATCATATGCTTTTGACACTTGTTGTTTGCTCATTGCGCTCAGTCTTCATCGTTGTCGCGTGTCGCTTTGCCGCGCGAGTTTGCTTATCGCGGAACACTACGCAGGCGAAATTAAACGAAAATAATATAATCCCAATCTTAAATCGGATTTAATCATCTTTAAGCTACCGATTTGTGTTTAAATTGATTGGAAAAGTGTGTGGCCTTGTAGGAGGTTAAGCGGCGCATATAGGCGTGATCAGAAATATGCATGGAAATGTGTGAAAATCGTAATTGAAAATAGTCCATTGTGTTTGCTTGCGCTAACGCTGACGCAGACGTTGACGTCGTCGTCCTCTGCTGCGACCAGAGTCTTAAAAGTTGCCTTTTGGCGTTGTCGCGTTGTTATTACCGCTGCAACAGCGGCTTGTGGGCGCGGGGGCGTAATTGTTGACGTTGCTCTGAGCGTATATTTTATGTTTCGCCTTCTTCTGCTGCCCCGTACGCGGAATTGTCGCGTGTATTTTTTTCCTTCTCTTCTGCGTTTGCGTTTACGTTTACGTATTGACAGTAACTGCGGCGAGCGCGTCGCTGCTCAAACATTGTTATTGTTATTATTGTTTGCGGTCGGTCGCCGTTTTTGTTTCTGTTTCTGCTTCGGCATCTGCTTGTGCCGCTGCTATTGCTATTCAGCTTCCCCTTTTGCGCTTTTGTGGTTAAGTGCGCGTACTCAAGGTGAAAAATATATTGAGTTCTTTCAAGTGCCATTTCGAGTGTGTGTGGCCATAAAATTTAATTTGCAATCAAATTATTCGATTTACGGTCAGTGAGTGAGTGCTTTTGCTCCCATATTCATAGACATTCATACATACATATGTATGTATATACCGCTGTGCCGAAGATCGATCTGATGAATCAGCTATTATAATGTGTAAACATTCTGATGCCAGCGAATCTCTAAAGCGCCAAACAGTTTAGATTCAAACTGATAATTGTAAGTACAAAACGACTTTTTACTAAACTTGCCCATGTAAATAAGTATGAGTGTATGCATGCGCATAGGTATGTATATGTATGTAAGTTCCTATATGAAAAACCCGTTCCACCTGTTGTTCGGTATCGGCCGGGCGCAGCCAATGTTGCAGTTACATACAAAAGGGCTGAGCTGCGTTGCGCTGCGCTGGCAACTGGGTCAAGTGGCAAGCCTTTGATAACGGTACAATGGCAGTGCAGTTAATTGCTAAAAAGAAAACAAGTTCCCCTTCAAGTTGAATAATTGAAGACAAATCACAAATTATTCAACCACCCGTTCGCTGCCTATTCAGAATCAATTGCAAACAAGCAACAACAACAACAACATCAACAGCTACAACGGCAACAAAAATATCAACAGTGGCGCCCTCTCGCACTCTCACTTTGCAATGAAAAGAGGGCAACCAGACACACGCGTGCTTAATTAAGCGCCACATTGTTGAGCAGATAGAGAAAGAGAGAGAGAGAGAGTAAGAGAGAGGCCGCGAGCGAGAGTGAGAAAGCAAAAAGAGAAAGAGCTTTCGTATTCAAGTGGGAGCCGACGCTCAATACATGTATGCATGTGTGTATGTGTGTATGTAGCTGTTAAGTGGGCAGGGCAGATGGCGCCGCATGCAGCCGCCGGAGCACGCGTTGCATTTCATTTTTTTTTTGCGAGCCGTAAAAAATTTTACACGTTGTGCAGATTTTTGTACGGATCCCACCCCCTGATATATTTATTAATGCATGTGCAATTTACACACACACACACTCACACAGACAGCCAGGCACAGTTACACACACGTATGAATGCTTGAACCGCAGTAAAGCGCCGATGACGACTCAATTAAACTTTCAGTGAAAATCAATGACTGAGCCATTGAGAACTCTTAAAGTAATGTATGAAGCTAACAAACAGATACACACATGTGCATTTAATATGCGAGTGTGTGTGTGTATGTGTGCTTTTATGGAACACATCTACGTGCAACTACCTGAGTATGTATGTAACTTTGTGCATAATTTGCAGTTCAATTGTGCGGCAATAAAAATGCCTTTGACGGGCTGTAGCATCATTTCGAAATGCTAAATTAACATAAAAAGTTAAACGACCATTTATCTTATAAATAAGAAATACTCTGACCGCATTTAATTCCCTCAGGTCCGTCAGAGCCCTTCAATGCAACTAATAAGAATTGAATTCCAAGGGCTTATATGTGTTCGTGGCTGTCGTTGTATATATCTCTGTTTATTCAGTTGGAATTGTTGATACAGGTTACACTATGCAACAGTTCAGAAGCTCAATTATAAATATGGAGAAAATATTTAGTAATTCGCAGAGCTTTTAATTTATGTAGATGACTTAAAACATACATTTATCCCATTTGACCTATTTTATCAGTCATTTCAAATATTTCTTTTATGCAGTCTGTGCATTGTAATTCTGTAATTCACTCAATTAATAATCTGCTATAAATAGTTGATTTAGCTTTTCGACTCGTAACACTGACTCATTACTAAGTATATCCCCAGAATTTTGCTACTTTTCCATTTCAGGCTCTTTCTGGCATAAAATGCTCTTTCGCTCTCTTTGTTTGTGCGCGACGTTTATTATGGAGAAAAGTTTCATATAGCAGACGTGCCATCGCTCACATTTTGTTTAATTGGTATTTGTTGTTGCTGTTGTTGTTGTAGCTTTTGTTGCTGTTGTTTGTGCCTTTTGTGGGTTGCATTTTGAACCTGATTGCAGCTGGCAGCAGCTGTCGGCGTCGGCGGTGGCTTTTGTGTAATTCAAACTGACATAGAGATGCACCTTTGTGTTTATGTCCATTAAAATCGAGGTTAAAGCGGGTATATTCGTTTGTATACCTGAAATAAATCTAAGATGTGGTATAGCTCCAGCATGGCTCTACTCTGCAATTCTAATAAATTCAAGACAGTCTTGGAGCTTTTCAAGCTTTGGCCATAATGTTCGCAGCAGAAAGCCCAAATTCAATGCGCATTTGAATGCAGTTCTGCTTAAGCATTGAATTGCAATTTATGCATTTAATTCTCGCTGACATTTGCCGGAGCATCAATTGAGATGTACGGCTATAGAGTAGAACAGGTGCAAGGCAGCGCTTCGCAAGCAGTTCAAATAATTTAAACCCAATTGCAAGTGGAGAATACCATTGTCTTGACTCTGGTCATGATGCGGATGCAATCAAATTGGCAGGATATCCTGGTACTCGTGTTGCACGCAAACAGGATATGCTGCTCAAATTTGGGTTCTCTTTGACATAATTGAATTTTCCCACATGAACGACAATTGTTTTACGGCAACCGGGACTTGGCTTGGGGCTGGGGCAAAACAGACAAGCATGTAAAGAGCGACAGAATGGGCGGCCCAGAGGTTGAAGCGTTCCCAAAAGTGTCGCACAGACAAAAGCTTCAATCAATGCCTAAAACTTTGAGAGCCGCCTCTTTGCTCCTGTTGCTTTAACCTTTATCCCCATTCTTGTGCTACCGTTCAGTACAAAAGCTGTCTAAGCCAATAAAGCAGCAAAGGATAACGTCAAGAAGCGACCCGAGAACCTTTTGCTAAACAGTTGCGCTCGAACCGATTGTTGATAAAATCCCTATATATATATATATATGTTTGTGTGTGTTTTTTCACATTTTGAGTTTAAAGAGCTTTTTATCATTGTTGCATAAGACTTAATTTGGTGCCTAAGTTCACAGACTAAATAAAAATCAACTAATAATCGAATGGACTTGGTTTCAAAAAGCTTAGGTTACTTTGACAATTTTATTAAATAAATTGTATCTTAATATATCCTTGACTATGCCTAGCTATAACTAGTGACATACCATCCCGTTACGATTATTTAACAAGAACATTTCCTGCAGTGCATTCATCGATAATCTTTTATACCATTTTTGCACACACGACTTGCTCAACATATGCTTTAGTTCCCGTTGCGCTCCATTGGATTGATCGAACCTTTAAACTGTTTATTGGCATCCGGAACCGGACAATACAGATGACGCATAATCAGAGCCCATTTTGTTGTTATTTTCTTGGACCCCTTTTTCTGCTTTATTGCTGATAGGGTTTTTGAATTTATCAAATTGTAATCGCTTTGGGAGTGTAAAATATAGTATGTTGTTCGATTGGCCCGAAAAGTTTTGTATAAATTAAATTGTCATTTGCATTTGAACTTGAAGGCTTAAATATAGAAATTGAATGTATATTTAATATTAATTGTTTTAAATTAATCAAGATTAGAAGCTTCACGATTTAAAGCTTGAGAAATTAAGCGAAACTCGTTAAGGCCTTTGCCCAGATTGCTTTTGTTCGTAATCAATAAATTTATTGTAAATTATGCTAAATCCAAGCGGCCCAAACGGGTTTGTCTCACATAAATTTCGCTTTCTACATAGTATTTTTATGAATATATATTTTAATTATCTATACTAATTGCACATTGTAAAAATCAATGTCCTTTGTTGCTTTTACTGTTGATTGACAGCAAATCTTCATGGTTTCTTCTCTTTGCAATCGACAAAGAAAACGAGAGGGTCTTCAGGAATTGCTCCATCTGAGCCGATTTCTTTATAGCCGCTCTTATCTTTGAATGTCGTATTAAGCACTATAAAGGAAATGTACTTAGAGTTCACAGTCTATAATAATAGAATTGAATGAATGCATACAAATCGAAAGGAATCGGCTGCGAAATTCATCTACGGCATATCCGTAAACGTAAACATATATAAAAAAGCTAATATAACCAAATAAGAGAATCAGCGTCACCACAACAGCGCTGTAGACAATGCACTGAGCCGTCCTGGGTGGATCCATTGACAGGCGAGAGGAACTCCTGAAACAGCCACGCCTTTAAAGCATATTACTGCAAACTTTGTGATGGTGTTTGCGATGTTTTGTGTATGTTTTTCACATGAGAGACCGCTAGAGCTGCTCCCCCTTCTCTATCGTGGGTCGGACTTGCCTCAAATCCAATTAAATTGGCTCTATATACTGGCATTTGTACATACAATGTATGTACAAACATATATACATAAGCGCAAGGCTAGCGGGCGCCTTAAGTTATGCAAACACTTTTGTATGTGTGCCACTCCTACGGGATGCTTTGCTTTCTCTATTCCTTTTGCACACACACATAGACACTCGCGCGCACACACAGATATACTAACACTCATACACACCAACAGCCAGACGCACACACGCACGGTCACATAGAACTTTTATCCTTCTTGGGCCAGAGTTTTTTTTTGGGTGGCTTTCAGTGTAAATTTTGGTATTAAACAAAACAGATTTTAATTTCTTGTGTTTAATTTAGTGTTGCTGTCGTATTTGATTACAAGTTTGTAAAAGCACAAGCTATACACAATTCTAATTTCACATTTCTAGCATTTAATTTCACACATGCATAACCAATGAGCAGCCGAACGGAGGCTGTCAGACCTCACTCGCGTCCCATTGCCCATACGCACCGTGTGGCAAAAGCAGTGAACGCTCCTTGGCTCGGCCGCTGCCGCTGTTGGTCACAACTTTGCGCCTGGCGCGACGCTTTACTACTGAATATCCCTTTTTGAGTGGCGAAAGTTTTCACTCTGCCTGCGAAGCTTTCGCGTTGCCAAGCAGCTTTTTTTTACATACAGCTTTTTAAGTTTAGAGAAAGCTGTGCTACGCCTGCGCCTTGTTCACGTAAACAATAATTTGTTTATTGTTTTTCACGTCTTACGCTTTGCTTTTTTCATTCGTCGCTCAGCTGTTTGTGCCTTTCGCACGTGCGTTTGTCTGCGTCGCTGTCAACGTTGCCGTCGCAGTCGCAGTCGCTGCCGCTCGACCACTTGTGGCGTTTGCTTTGTGCTTTGCCGCACTCAAATGTTATTTGTATTTTGCTCGCATGCCGCCGTGAGATTTTAGTTAGTTTGTGTGCAAAGTGTGTGTTTGTGAGTGTGAGCTTGTGCTTTTTAATCTAGTTTCAAATTGATTGGTTTTTAATTTACATTTGTTAAAATTTGTCTAATTAGTTTAGTGCATTGACAGGCCGATAAGTTTGTCACAAAATCATGCGACAGTATAAAGCGCGGTCACTCAATGCACAGACATCATTATCGCTTATCAAATGACATTGATATGTATTTAAGTTCCCGCAGCTATCTACACTTTAAGGCTTGTGCAAACATAGCTAATATATATAAGGAATAGAGTACAAAACTCTTTTTATGTCAATCATATAATATCATCTTAGTCAAAGGAAAATATATAGTTTTATATGTATTTGTAAACGGAAATCTCAGAGATATTCCTTAAAGACTAGACGGCTTAAGTTGCCAGCTGCAAACCCTGAACTAGAACACTTTAGCTCACTTTAGTTTCGAGTAGACTGTCAATCTTTGCACTAAGACTCAATGATACTTTAGCTCAAGCAACAGGCTCAGCAAAACGCAAACAAAGACATGCAGCGAGAGTCTTGAGTGAATTTCGACCTTGACCCGGTAAATGCAATTGCATTTGCATTAGGCATGCTAAGTAATCTTCACTGTCATCCACCATGTCGAAGTCAAATCAAATTTGCGCACGCCCCCTAGCCAGCACTGAAGCGAATGCACAAAGTGAGAGGCCAAGCTAATGCACAACTAAGAAAGCTAATTCGCCGCGCTGATGCGTAAAACGTGCAAAAATAGCGGTGGGAGGGGCGCGGGCCCACATGAATGAAAGCAAAAGTTTGATACAACAAGAACAACAATAAGAGCAGCAGCAGCAACTGCCTTAGAGAGAGAGAGAAAACACACAAAAAGCTATTCCCACGACACACTGCCTTATATGCTGCAAAAGCTTCTGGCACTCGCCTGAGCTTTCTGACAGCGACTCGACACACAAGCTTTTCCAGCATTTTCATTTGAGCGTTGGCCTTTTGTGGGTCGCCGTCGTCGGTTCGGACGTGTTCATGTTGCTCGCGGAAGCGTTGTAGCTGCCTCTCGTTGTCCGTCGCGCCGTGTAGCATCTAGAGAAAGAAAATTTAAATATTCAGTCAAATCATAAATTATTTATTGATGCCAGCTATATATACGACGTTAGGTAAAAGTCCAAATTATAATTAAAAAAAAAAAAAACACCAATATCAATTGTTGCTGCTGAGTTTTGTTTACGCTCGTCGCAAAAATAATTTGTGAAGATATTTGTAAGTGGTTTTTCCTCGAGCATGAAAATGTACACCTGGCAAGTCGAGCCCGTGCCAGAAAAGTGAGCTATGTGTCTGTGGTGGTGCGATGGTGCGGTGGTGCGATGGCTCTGCCAGCATCATTCAGCAACAAAAAATAGGCAAATAAATGACCTGGCTGCTGCCTCACATCCATGTGTATACATTCTTCCAGCTCACACATACACATAATACATATATATAGGCAATAGTATGTGTATATAGCATAAACTTGGCTAACCGAAATGTGTGGGAAATCGTTTGATTATTGTGTTGTTTGATTCAAATTGTTGTTAATTAATTTCATGGGATTCCAAATAAATTTAATCTTAATTGTCTAACAGTTGCAGAGGGAAATACCAGAAGCATTCGCACATCAGTATATATAATATATGATAACATATGATTTAATCGCATGCGAAAAAACCATTGAAATCTTGAGGAGTTCGTGGGTGGGTGAGAATGAATTAAATGATGCGCCTGGGGTGCTCCAGCTGGGCCACACTCTCCTGCTGGCTTATAGCCGAACCTGCCACACGCTGCAGCTTCTCTGTGGCCTCGCTTTCCATGTGTGTATATGTGTGTGTGTTTGACATGAAAACTTTTCAACAGTTCCGTAGCGCTTGCTCCCCTGTCGGAAAACGTTGGCATTCCTGGGCACCCAGGGGCAACCTCAGTGCCTGCCTACACAGAATTATGAATTTTTAATTTCCTCTTTGAAGAGGCAGCAAGCAAAAAATAATAAAATAAACGTTTGCGTATGTGGGAAAGCTGCCGGCAACAGATTTATGCTAATTGACATGCATAAATCCCAATCGGAATTTCTGAGGCCTAGAGGAATTGAGTCCTTATCCTGCTTTAACTGCTGTCATTGTGAATGACAGGCTAATAGATATTGTCGATTATGCGCAACTGATTTCTCTGAGCTTCTGAGAACTAATTATTATTCTTGTGCTGTAGCTTGTTGATAAACACACACACACATTGAGAGACGCAACATATAATGGGGAACACACACATGGCATACATCGAATATTCTAAGCATTACTCATATTTATGGTCCGTGGCTATAATAAAACTCGCAGAATGCTGTTGACCGGACCCAAGCAAAGCAATCACTTGCTTAATAGTTAATAACTCAACAAATCGAAATCAGGAAATTTCGTGTATTTTATTGATTATTTGTTGTGCATGCGGCCAATGTTTATCTTTCGGTTGTATCTTGTAATTAGCGGAATACACTGAAACGTCGATAATATACTTGTGTTAGCTCGCCTAAAATAGAATACAGTACCGCTTGATTCATGGGTTGCGAGAGAGAATGTCTTTTAAGATTCCACCACGTTTAACAAAGGACAAAAAGTTTTTTTTTTTTTTTTTTTTTTTTTTTTTTGTAGAAATCAATGTGGCATGCTGCCCATTAAGTTTGTAAAAAACATAAAAACTTGTACAGTTGTCTATCTCCCTCGTTCCATTTCCCCCACCCCCTCTCTCTATGCAAACAAGGGTTTTTTATGATACTTTTTCCACCCTCTGCTTTTAGATCGTATCTGAGCCATTATCTATCAACAATGCAAAAACAAATAAAAATAAAAACAATAGTCAGAATAAGTGACAGCAAACATGAAATTGTAAACTAAAACAGTTGCACAATAAAAACTGCTTCAATAGAGCCAAAGACAATATTAAGCATACGCCACGTGCGCAAAAACATTGAATACTATCTAACATACTATAACTTTTGCTATTTACTTTTATGAATAATTTAGGTAAATTTGTATTAATAGTTGCCTAGCCAAGTTCATGGCAGAGAAATGATGAGGAAAGGTTTTTAAATCATTGCATTAAAATATTAAGTATACGGGATGCTAGCCGAAATAAAATAATAAAATATTAATTCAAACGGTTTGTTGGTCAGAATGTTGGGTGTGCCATAATTTAATAATTAATTATTAATATTAAACTCATAAAAGCTAAATTCAGATTTTTACCAACCTCAAGAAGCCAGAACCAGCATAGTTTTTGTAAAAGTTTCTGGATATGTCCCTTGTGAAGTGTTCCATGTGTGTCCATATTGGGGAAATGAGAAAGTGGTTGGTTTGTTTATATATCTATGAATAAATTATCTCTTGACATGCCTCGCATGACGCGCGGAACGGCCGAAAATGGTTTAGGTTTGTGTGGTGCGCTCTATAGGTCAATGGCAGTAACGCTGCAGATAGTGATAACTCGATAACTAATAATAGATGGCTGGAATGTTTAATGTAATTAGAGTAAACTGCACTCGTGTGATTTCTTACAGCTATTATAGTTGCTAATGTGCATATATATGTATATATATGTGTGTGTGTGTTTATTTTTTATTTATCCACAGCACACACTGCGACAACAAGGACAGCGACAAATCTTTGCAATTAACTCGCATAACCGGCCACAGACAAAAGCAAAGGGGCAAGAGCAAAGTCCTAGAGAGCAGGCGGATACCACCCACCGTCAATCCGCACACACCCACACATACACATTCATTCGCCCACACACAACAGTAGGACACGTTGCTTCGGCCCACACGCAGCAACATGGGCGACAATATAATTGGCTCGGCGAGCTTCCTTCACTTGGGCGACATTGTTTCCCTCTATGCGGAGGGCAGCGTTTGCGGCTTCTTGAGCACACTCGGGTGAGTACCATTTGTCACATGCTTGTAGAATACTCATTGCACTCGCACTCACACTAGCACTCACACTCACATTCACACATAACTAACTGCAGTCGCTCTTCAAAGGCATTTAAGATGTCTGAAGTGCCTCGTCAACTGTTGCACGACGACTTAAGAGTCTCCCCCCTCCCTGGCATGTCAATATACTAATTGACATTAGATTTGATTTATAAAGTTATTAGTTACATTTATTCAATTTGTGCATAAGTGCACAGGTATAAGTTTATTGCTAATTGACTTTGATTTCTTTTAGTCTGGTGGACGATCGAACCGTCGTTTGCCCCGAGGCCGGAGATTTGAGTTGCCCGCCCAAGAAGTTTAGAGGTAAACAGAAGCTGCCAAATGATCTATCGACATACTTCATTAGCTTATATATGCTCGCCTTACAGATTGCCTTATCAAAATATGTCCCATGAACCGTTACTCTGCTCAGAAGCAGTTCTGGAAGGCAGCCAAACAGTCGGCCAGCTCCAACACAGATCCCAATCTGCTGAAGCGTTTGCATGTAAGCTCCATGGAGTTGTTGCTTCTACTCAGATCTCTAACATCTCTCTCTTTCTCTCTTGTATGCTAGCATGCCGCTGAAATCGAGAAGAAGCAGAATGAAACGGAGAACAAAAAGCTGCTGGGCACATTCATACAGTACGGGCGCGCCGTGGTGCAGCTGCTCCACTTGAAGTCGAACAAATATCTGACCGTTAACAAGCGGCTGCCGTCGCTGCTGGAGAAGAATGCGATGCGTGTGTATTTGGATGCGAATGGCAATGAGGGCTCTTGGTTTTACATCAAACCCTTCTACAAGCTGCGCTCCATTGGCGACTACGTTGTGGTGGGCGACAAGGTGATCCTCAGTCCGGTGAATGCCGATCAGCAGAACTTGCACGTGGCCGCAAACTATGAGCTGCCCGACAATCCCGGCTGCAAGGAGGTCAACGTACTAAATTCATCAACGTCGTGGAAAATCTCGCTGTTCATGGAGCACAAAGAGAACCAGGAACATATACTCAAGGGTGGCGATGTGGTGCGTCTCTTTCATGCCGAGCAGGAAAAGTTTCTAACCATGGATGAGTACAAGAAGCAGTACCACGTCTTCCTCCGCACCACGGGCCGCACCAGCGCCACTGCGGCGACCAGCAGCAAAGCGCTCTGGGAGATTGAGGTGGTGCAGCACGACTCATGTCGTGGTGGTGCCGGCGACTGGAATTCCTTGTACCGTTTCAAGCATCTAGCCACGGGCCACTATCTGGCTGCCGAAGCCGAGTCCGATGTAGTTGCTGGGACGAACGCTGCAAACGGCCATGAGTCTTTGTTGGGCGACTGCAGCAAGGACTCGGGGCTCAGCTCTACCATGAACTCCACTCTAAATGGTAAGCTTCGCAGGACTTGCATAAATATGTTGAACTAATCTCATTCGCCACTCCACAGACAAACCGAAGGGCAAACTGTATCGCTTAGTCTCAGTGCCATATTCGGCTGATATAGCCTCTGTGTTTGTGCTGGACGCTACAACAATGGCTCGGCCGGATAGCCTGGTGCCGCAGTCCAGTTATGTGAGACTGCAGCACATTTGCTCCAACACCTGGGTGCACGCGACGTCGATACCCATCGATGCGGATGACGATAAGCCGGTCATGTCGAAGGTGTGCTGCTCGCCCATCAAGGAGGACAAGGAGGCCTTTGCACTGATCCCCGTGTCGCCGGTGGAAGTTCGTGATCTAGACTTTGCTAACGATGCGTGCAAGGTGCTGGCCATGGTGACCAGCAAGCTGGATAACGGCAGCATATCAATCAATGAGCGGCGAGCTCTGATCTCGCTGCTGCAAGACATTGTGTACTTCATAGCCGGCATGGAGAATGAGCAGAACAAGACTAAGGCACTCGAATTTACCATTAAGAACCCCATACGCGATCGACAGAAGCTGCTGCGCGAGCAGTATATCCTAAAGCAGCTGTTCAAAATATTGCAAGGACCCTTTCAGGAGCACAGCGCTGGCGATGGACCATTCCTGCGGTTGGACGAGCTGAGCGATCCCAAGAATGCCCCGTACAAAAATATCTTCCGACTTTGCTATCGCATTTTGCGGCTCTCGCAGCAAGACTATCGCAAAAACCAGGAGTACATTGCCAAGCACTTTGGTCTGATGCAGAAGCAGATCGGCTACGATATCCTTGCTGAAGACACAATCACCGCACTGCTGCACAACAATCGGAAGCTGCTGGAGAAGCACATTACGGCAGCTGAGATCGAGACCTTTGTGGGTCTTGTGCGCAAGAACATGAACAACTGGGACTCGCGTTTCCTCGACTATCTCTCCGACCTGTGCGTCTCGAATCGCAAGGCTATCGCTGTCACCCAGGAGTTGATCTGCAAGAGCGTGCTTAGTGATAAGAATGTTGACATTCTGATCGACACACAGGTCAAGGCGCTTCGTGGCGGCAACTCAGTGCGCTGCTACAAGGGCGCCTCCGAGGATGTGTGCCTGTCTACGCTTACCGAGGTTGCCGGCGATGACGAGGATCGCTCCGACGTGCAGTCTACCTCCACCTCGACCACATGGGACAGTGCGAGTCTGAACGATGACGAGAGTGTGCTGCCGGGCGAGAAGTACGAAATACATTTGCAATGGAAGGGCCAACCGGTGAGTGTTGAAAGACTTGTTTCATTCCTTCGCTTATCTAAAGCAATTCTCTTTTGTGTTTTCAGTCATCGCGCTCCATGGCCGATCTGGCCAACTGCGTGGCCGAGGGTTGCGAGCAGGAGACGGCTATTTTGAACTACTATCGTCATCAGCTGAATCTGTTCTCGAACATGTGCCTGAATCGTCAGTACTTGGCTCTAAATCGGTTGTCGCCCCAATTGGATATTGATTTGATATTAAAGTAGTTTCCTCCACTGAATTCCACAATTCCCTTGCTAAAGTCTCTCCTTTACTGCAGATGCATGTCTGATGAAACGATGCCCTATGAGCTGCGTGCCTCGTTTTGCCGTCTGATGCTGCACTTGCATGTGGATCGAGACCCGCAGGAGCCAGTCACGCCCGTGAAATACGCCCGACTGTGGAGTGAAATACCCTCCAAAATGTCCATTATGGAGTGAGTATCTGTGATAATTGATGATGGTAACTATTAGCTAATTCGTGCTCATCGTGCCCAGCTATGATGGCAAGAATCTTCAGCCGGATCAGAACAAACAGGCCTGTCGAGCCAAATTCAACACGACTATCGCCTTTGTGGAAAACTATTTGTGCAATGTGGCCACCAAGGTGTGGCTATTCACGGATCAGGAGCAGAACAAGCTGACCTTTGAGGTGGGCATCTGAACTTTTCGGCAAAGTCATTCGTTTATCTACATACATCTCCTTCAGGTGGTTAAACTGGCCAGGGACTTGATATACTTTGGCTTCTACAGCTTTAGCGATCTGCTGCGCTTAACGAAGACTCTGCTCTCCATTCTGGACTGCGTGTCCGAGACGACAACCGGAGGCTCCTTCGTCAATACGGATATCGATTGTGAGTACCAAAACTGATTCTCTAAAATTAAGTTAGTTGAGTAAGTTATCTCTGATCTCTCCATGACAAGCTGTCGAAGAGGAGACGAGCAATAATGGTAAGCTTGGAAATAATCGAAATTTAATTATCACATGTAGATTAATCCCACAACTTATGTCTATTTTCCAGCTGAGGGCGGCGTGCTACGCTCCATTGGTGACATGAGCACGGTGATGACTTCGCTGGCGTTGGGCTCCGTTGGCCAAGCGATTGCAGCGCCTTCCATAGCACTTCAACAGCGCAAGTCCGTGTCGCAACTTATGAAGGAATATCCGCTAGTCATGGACACCAAATTGAAGATCATTGAAATACTTCAGTTCATCTTGGACGTGCGCCTAGACTATAGGATCAGCTGCCTGCTCTCAATATTTAAACGCGAGTTCGACGAATCCGAAGTGGTTACTCAAGCCCCACCAACTGGTGCAAATGAGGAGCAGAACCAGCAGACCACACCTGGCAGCACAGGCACCACTGACGCAGAGCAAATTGCCGCTGCAGAGGCTGCCATGGCTGCAGCGGCAGCTGCATCTGCAGCAGCGGCCCGTCAGAAGAATATCGATCTGGAATCCATTGGCATACAGGCGGAGGGCATCTTCGACTGTGAGCGCAGTGATGCGGCCAACTTGGATCTGGATGGTCAAGGAGGACGCACATTTCTGCGCGTCCTGCTGCACCTAATCATGCACGACTATGCACCACTTGTGTCTGGCGCTCTGCATCTGCTTTTCCGACACTTTAGCCAGCGCCAAGAGGTGTTGCAAGCCTTCCGACAGGTAAGCTGCGGTTCCATTTTGCTGATTCCCTAACGTAAATTTGCGTAACTCATTTTCAAGTAGTTAAAGTTGACTGCATGTGCAATCATTTCATTTAGGCTTTCTATAACTAAGCTATATAACTATATATAAAGTCAGAGTAAAGTTTGTCGGTAATCTTTAGATAGTTTCACACAATTGTTTGAAAATCTTTTATAGTATTATATATATTATGTTCGTATCGGGGTATTGAATGGAATCGGTATTCCGATGTTGGTATTGCCTTGTGGTTGCTTTCTAATTTCTGAATTTTATTCTTCATCTCTCTTGGGTTTGCATGCAACGCTCTTGAATTCGAATTCGATGTCTCGCCTCACTAATCTGTTTAACCAACTGCATTTATCATATGTATGTGACTAACAACTAACACTGCTCACGCACTGATAACATACACTAAACTAACACTAAAGTGGACGTATTCCGCATATCGTAATGAAAGATCTTTTGATTTTGTATGTATGAATATTTTATGATGCCTCTGTGAGATAGGCTAATGGCTGACATTTCTCCTTTTGCGTTGTAGGTGCAACTGCTCGTCTCGGACAGTGATGTGGAGTCCTATAAGCAGATCAAATCCGACCTGGACATATTGCGCCAGAGTGTGGAGAAGTCCGAGCTGTGGGTGTACAAGGCCAAGGCAACGGATGAGCTGGGTGGCACGGATGCAGCAGGCGGTGCGGATAATCTGGAATACGATGCCACGCTCTCGCCAGAGCAACGCAGCGAATATCAAAAGGTCAAAGAGATCCTCATTCGCATGAACAAGTTCTGCGTTACGGATGGTGCGTACTCCTTTATATTCTTACCTCTTATATTACTCATGCTCGAACATCTCAATTCAGGTCCCATTGTCAAGCCGCGCAAGCACGAGCAGCGCCTACTTCGCAATGTAGGCGTGCACACAGTTGTCCTGGATTTGCTACAGAATCCATATGACGAGAAGGACGATGTGCTGATGAAGGAGCTGATGTGCCTGGCGCATGAATTCCTACAGAACTTCTGCCTAGGCAATCAGCAGAATCAAGTGCTGCTGCACAATCATCTTGATTTGTTCCTCAATCCAGGCGTAAATATCTAACCCCTTGCTCAGATAGCACCTGTGGCTAATTTTTTATTTTTTCCATGCAGATTCTCGAGGCGAAAACAGTCTGCGCCATCTTCAAGGACAACTTGGCGCTTTGCAATGAGGTGACGGACAAAGTGGTGCAACACTTTGTGCACTGCATCGAGATCCACGGCCGACATGTGGCATATTTGCAGTTCCTGCAGACCATCGTCAAAGCAGAGAACCAGTTCATACGCAAGTGTCAGGACATGGTCATGCAGGAGCTCATCAATGCCGGCGAGGACGTGTTGGTGTTCTACAACGACAAGACCTCGTTCCACCACTTTGTGCAAATGATGCAGCAGCAGCAGCAGCAACGTGGTCAACAGCTCAGAGACGACAGTCCGCTGAAATATCATGTGGAATTGGTGAAGCTACTCGCCTGCTGCACCATGGGCAAGAACGTCTACACGGAGATCAAGTGCAATAATTTGCTGTCGCTGGACGACATTGTGACCATCATATGCCATCCGTTGTGCATTCCCGAGGTCAAGGAGGCGTATGTGGACTTCCTCAATCATTGTTATATTGATACCGAAGTGGAGATGAAAGAGATCTATGCCTCCGGTCACATGTGGAGTCTGTTCGAAAAGAGTTTCCTGGTGGACCTTAATCTGTTGATATCAAACACCTCAGCCACCGCTAACAAGACACTGCTGGCCTATGTACTGAATGGTGTGACCAATTTGCTGAGCAGCTTCTTCTCCAGCCCCTTCTCCGACCAGAGCACAATAGTTCAGTCGCGGCAGGTGATCTTTGTGCAACTACTGCAGGCCGTTTACCGGCTTACTCAATGCAAGTGGCTATCATTGGCGGATCGTTTCAACGTAGAAAACTGCATCCGTACTCTGACAGAATCAGCCAAGATGCGCAGCATTGTGCTGCCCTTGGAGCTGGAGCAGCAGGTGACTAATATGTCTAGCAAAACTGCAATGCTAACACGACAGACGACCAAGTGGCTGCTGGCCTCCAAGCAGCCCAAGTATGATACTCAGCAGTCGGCCCATCTGATGCGCTGGGATCGCTCCATCATTGAGGGATTGCAGGACATTGTCTCGCTGTTGGAGGATCAACTGAAGCCGGTCGTCGAGGCGGAGCTTTCATTACTAGTCGACATACTTTATCGCTCCGAACTGCTTTTCCCTGCGGGTACCGAGGCGCGTAAGCGCTGCGAGAGTGGAGGCTTCATACGCAAGCTAATCAAGCACACAGAGAAGTTGCTGGAGGAGAAGGAGGAGCGCATGTGTGTGAAGGTGTTGCGCACTCTACGCGAAATGATGGCTATTGATGTCAACTATGGCGAAAAGGGAGATGCCCTACGTCAAACACTTCTGCTGCGCTACTTCCAGTGCAAGAGTGCGCCAAAGCTGGAGGAGGAGCACCCACAACTGCCGACGGGCGTGGCGGCTGCTGCAGCTTTGGCCGCGGCGGCCGCCTCCGACCCGGCCAAGCAATTGCATTTGGTGACCCACGGACCTGGTGCCAAGTATCTGGCGCGTGCGGACAAGACGCTGCACGAAATGCAGAATCACCTGGATCGCGAGGGTGCCTCCGATTTGGTAGTAGAGTTGGTCATCAAATCGGTGCATTCACCCAACATCTTTGTGGAGGCCGTGGAGCTAGGCATAGCATTGCTCGAGGGCGGAAATCCCATTATACAGAAGGGCATGTTCCAGAAGTTCCTCAGCGATGATCTAAATCAAGCGTTCTTCAAGGTCTTCTTTGAGAAAATGAAGGATGCACAGCAGGAAATTAAGTCGACGGTCTCCGTCAACACTACAGATATAGCAGCCAAAGCGCACGAGCATAAGCAAGATACCAACATGGAGCTAGACAAAATCTCGCGCAAGCACGGCCTCAAGAGCAATGGGGTTGTCATCACGGACGAGCTCAAACGGGAGCTGCACAATGCAGGCCTGGCCACAGCACGCGCCTACGGCAACGCGCGCAACATACACTCGGGCGAGGAGAGCTCAGCGATCAGTGTGAATAGTCCGCTGGAGGACATACTAGCCGAAAAGTTGGAGAAGCATCGAGACAGCAAGGAGCAGCGCAACCAGCTGTCGAACAAGGTGCTCGTCATGCAGCCCATTCTGCGCTTTCTGCAATTGCTTTGTGAGAACCACAATCCAGATCTGCAGAATCTGCTGCGGAATCAGAACAACAAAACCAATAATAATCTCGTGTCCGAAACACTCATGTTCCTCGACTGCATCTGCGGCTCCACCACGGGTGGCCTGGGTCTACTCGGCCTCTACATCAATGAGCACAATGTGGCTTTGATTAATCAAACTCTGGAGACACTCACCGAGTACTGCCAGGGGCCGTGCCACGAGAACCAGAACTGCATTGCCACCCACGAGTCGAACGGTTTGGATATCATCACGGCTTTGATATTGAACAACATAAATCCGTTGGGGGAGAATCGCATGGATCTGGTGCTGGAGCTGAAGAACAATGCCTCCAAACTGTTGCTGGCCATTATGGAGAGTCGTGGCGACAGTGAGAATGCGGAGCGCATACTCTACAACATGAATCCCAAGCAACTGGTCGAGGTAGCCTGCAAGGCCTACCACCAGGAAGAACTCATTGACGAGCAGGATGATGGAGATGAGCCGAGTGCCGCCACAGATGACGACGATGCAACGGTCAGTCCCCGCGAAGTGGGCCACAACATTTACATACTTTGCCATCAGCTAGCACAGCACAATAAGGAGCTGGCGGCCTTGCTCAAGGCCTCTGAAGATCCGCAGTCGGCCAGCTTCGACGCGAAAACCAGTCAAGCTCTCATGTACTACGCAACACATACGGCACAAATCGAGGTACAGTTCGAAAGGTTATCATTATCAATTATGTTTTTAATAACTCATTCTATCTATCTCATTCGCAGATTGTTCGCAATGACCGCACACTGGAGCAAATTGTATTCCCCATACCTGAAATTTGTGAATATTTGACAACAGACACGAAAATCAAAATACTTAATACTGCGGAACGCGATGATCAGGGCTCCAAAGTAGCCGACTTCTTTGACAAGGCCGAGGAGATGTTTAACGAAATGAAGTGGCAGAAGAAACTGCGAAGTAAGTCCTACATTCTGAGAATCTGCATATTTTAGTAAGACTCGCTTCTCTAACAGGTCAGCCGTTGCTCTTCTGGATCAGCAGCTACATGTCGCTATGGAGCAATATACTATTCAATTGCGTTGTGGTAATCAATATGATCGTGGCTTTCTTCTATCCTTTCGACAATACTGTACCAGGTATGTAATAGCGTAAAGAACTATCAGAGTACTTTGACAGCTAGTTAACAGTGCATGTTACGATGATGTTAAGAATTGTTTAGTATACTTAATGGAACGGTGTTTTATATATATTGAAATCTCTTATATTTCTAGAGCTCAGTTCGCACATTTCCCTGCTATTCTGGGCCATTTTGATATTCTCATTGATTATAGTCATTACGCTGCCGCGTGAGTCAGGCATACGCACTTTCATTGGCTCCGTAATTCTTCGTTTTATATTTGTACTTGGGCCAGAATCCACACTCTGTTTGCTGGGCGTTGTTACGGTAAGAACTTGTCCAACGCATAACTGTTCGCTTCTAATTCTCCGATTTTCTTTCAGGTTACGCTTAAGAGCGTGCATATTGTGAGCATAATGGGCAACAAGGGCACGTTAGAGAAGCATTTTCTGAAGATCATCACCGACTTTCAGCTGCTCTATCATTGCATTTATATAGCATTTTGTTTCTGCGGACTTATTTTCCATCCATTCTTCTACTCACTGCTGGCAAGTATCCTTAATGATAATGTGTTTATTAATTTAATAAGAAATCTTCTGCGTAGCTGTTTGATGTTGTCTACCGAGAAGAGACGCTGGTCAACGTGATTCGCTCGGTTACACGTAACGGTCGCTCCATTGTTTTGACCGCCGTTCTGGCATTGATTTTGGTTTATCTATTCTCTATAATTGGCTACATGTTCTTCAAAGATGATTTTCTCGTTCCGGTGGACTATGAAGAGCAGGAAGCCGGGTCGGCTGCTGGCCCTTTGACTTTATCGGTGCCAGCGTCTGCGGATCAGTTCTGTGCCATGCCAGATGAACATGGCAGCTGTGAGGGTAGTACTAAGCAGAATGGACCTGCAACTGTCATTGCCAGCGGAGAAGTGAAGGAACGCTCGTGTGACTCACTGGTCATGTGCATTGTAACGACACTAAATCAAGGCCTACGAAATGGTGGGGGCATTGGCGATATTCTAAGAGCACCCTCGAGCAAGGTAAATAATTTAGTCGGAATCCAAACCGAATAGATGTCCTCCTCAATAATGCCTTTCATTGCAGGAGGGTCTTTTTGTGGCGCGCGTCATCTACGATCTACTGTTCTTCTTCATTGTCATTATTATCGTGTTGAACCTGATCTTTGGTGTCATTATCGACACATTTGCCGATCTGAGATCGGAAAAGCAGCAAAAAGAGGCTATACTCAAGACAACCTGTTTCATCTGTTCGCTCAATCGTTCAGCCTTCGACAACAAGACAGTCAGCTTTGAGGAGCACATCAAGAGCGAGCACAATATGTGGCACTACCTGTACTTCATAGTGCTGGTCAAGGTCAAGGATCCCACAGAGTTCACAGGCCCCGAGAGCTATGTATACGCCATGGTTAAGGCAGGCATTTTGGAATGGTTCCCAAGGCTACGCGCCATGTCGTTGGCTGCAGTGGATGCTGATGGCGAGCAGATCGAGCTACGTAGCATGCAGGCACAGCTCTTGGAAACGCAACTCCTAATCAAGAATCTATCGACGCAGCTGCACGAGCTCAAAGACCACATGACAGAGCAGCGCAAACAGAAGCAGCGGCTAGGACTGCTCAACACTACAGCTAATTGCCTATTGCCGTTTCAGTGAGGCGCAGATTTGGAAAAAATGAGTCAAGGCTATGCCGAACGGCTAGTCAACTAAATTTATTGAGTTCTCGACATTCCCTCGTGTAGATCATGCACTACATATGCTGTTAACGTAAAAGTATTGACACGAATTCCACAGTAACTTTTTAAAATCTCGTAGAATCAGGATCTTTGAACATATTTACAATTTCGTTAATTATCCAATTATATTTGCACTCGAAAGGAGAACGTTTACTGCTCCGCTCCATACTATTCTATCTATCACCGCTGATGTGATAGTTACTTGATTTTGATATATACCTTAATATTGTATTAGATTCGATTTTTCAACAAAAGGTTTGCTCATTAAAGAAGTTAAGACTCTCGACCATTTCCAAATAAAATCAACGTCAAATATAAACTTACAGAAATAAGAACACTCTTAGAAACTTATATATATATATACACGTATAGTGAATTCACTCAGAGAACTTAGGGCTGTTGAACTGTTGTTTAGTGGATTTCTTGATCCGCATTTTCACAAATTTAGAGATGTTGTTTCCCTATCTATGTACATCTATCTATCCACCTATCTCTATATCTATACACATGTTTACACCTGTTAACTGTTTCAATTAAATCTGATCGCAAAGCGAATTCAAAAAATTTACTTAACTGTTCTTATGCGCTGTTTCACGTTACTTAACAGCTACAATAATTTGGACTTTTATAGAGTAATAATAATTGATAATGATAAATGGATTTATTGTATCACATTTTCATTTAAAACTAACTAATTATTGTGATTATACTTTCCCTTGTTTTAATCTTTTCGAATTGTTTACCCTGTACTCGATGTGAGTTTTGTTGGTTAATTATTTTTATAAGCTAACATTTAATTATCCTTAGTGAATCTATTCTAAAGTTAAGCTACTTTTAATGTATAAAGTAAATCAAAATAAAGTGAAGTAAAATTGAAAATAATGCAAGACTCTCGATTTCATTGAAATGATGCCATTTCTACAGACTTCTTTAGCCCAGTATGTAGCTTTCTTAAGAATATTATTTCTAAAATTAAAACAATTAATATTTATTTTTTATTCAACATTTTTATTAAATAATTATTAAACTACTGTTCACTTTCATAAAATTGTTCAATGCGCTGCTGAGATTATCGCTTCATTTTTTCTTTTAATTTGTATGTTTTTAATTCTATAACTACATATTTATGTATGTATGTTTGTATATTTGTATGCATGTATGTAAAGATCTGATTCGATTTACGCTAGCTTAAAATCATTGTAAAAGCGCATTTGACCCATATTCAATTTAAATGTTTTGGAACGTCTTTTTGACAAATGCTTTCATTAAAAATTGTATTTGTTTTGAATTGTATGTATATATAATTATATAAACATAAATCGTTCCGTTAAACTGAAGCATGGGCCAACATATAATTTGTTATGATAGTGGATATACGAAGATAAAATAATAAATGTTTTTGCCAATCTTAAAATAGTATTGGAAGCTGCCGAAGTTATGATTGAAATCAGTAAGTAGTGTAAAGTGTAGGTACTATAAATTAATACTTTGAAGTTAACATAACTCTATATAAAAAAGGGGAAAATTTGGTAAAAACTTGGAGGGCACATGTACTATACGTTGGGGGAGGGATTGGTATTACAGGTAATACAACTGACATGGAAAGCGACAGATACTTCTATCTTTTATTGTTAACAAGTATGATTTGTATTCTTTTGCTATATATATTTTTATATAAATATGAAAAGTTTTTAAATTACAATGTACTGCCTTTTGTTTAATGCTGTTGTACGTTAGTTTGTTAATTATTATTACTATCATTTATAATTCGTATTAGTGTTTGGAAGAGACAAAGAAGAAATAGTATCAGTAGTAGTATTTGCAAAGACAGAGTTTCATATACATGCAGGTTTAAGTTTAGTAATAGTTTTTTCATGTATATTAATTTATATAAATTAGTTGTCATACCATATTTAATATTAATTAACAATCTTTGCTTAGTACAATTCGTGGCATTTTTAATATTGTTATTTTTGATTGCTAAAATTAAATTTTTGTATTGTTTAGGTACAAAGAAAATCTCATGGCCATTGCACAGTGTGCCATCGGTTAAAATACTATATCCTTTGAATACACACTCCTTATTAAAATAATCTATTGATCGTTCCCAAAAAAAAAATAAAATAAAAACTATTTGAATTGAATTACCTTCTGCTTAAAAATTTATATTTTATGGTACTCTGATATTATATTTTTTGTTATTTATGCTTGCTTGTTCGTATGATTTTTGTGTTGTTAATTAACTCAAGAGTAGGTAGGCATAAGAATTGCATGGACATGAATTTAGTATCGTTTGATGTGTAATTGATTGGTTGATGGATTACAATATTGATAGAATATGGAATGGACATTCAATCGTACAAGGCATAAATTGAACACTTTAGTTTCTGTATTTGCTTCCACAGTCCATTATTATCAACCTGAATCTGTTACTATTTTCCAATCTTATTTTTATCTTATATAATTGAGTTTGTCGTCTCAAATGATAATCTGATTGCAAAAAAAAAAACACCTATCTACTCTATACGGAGTTGATTAACAATTAATATTTCAGCTGCCTTCAAAAAGGCCTATCGATACTGTATATATTGCATAATATTGTATGGTCGGTCGAGCGGCATGTTTTCGAAAAATCTATCTTTGAAACCATCAACTCATTTCGTTTAAAACTTTAAGGTTTTCTTTTCAAGTAATTCGCACACAGGATGAACTGCAAAAATATATTTTTCGTCTTATGCAAATGATTGAAGAGTATCAAAGTTGTATAAAATATTCAAGCATTCTACAAAAATGGCAATTATCTTGAAATTCCGATGGAATATACTAATGGACCACAAGTCGTTGTTAATTGAACTGTGAATATTCGAATGAAAGTATAAACTATTATATAAACTAGAATTGCTGTAAAATCATCATCGAAGCCATACATATAAAGCGTTCGCTGTTTAGTATTATTAATTAGTTGCATAAGAAAAGTTTGAGTTAAATTGCTGCATAAAAGTTGCTGGCGACTAGATTTAAGTTTGTTGCTTTGTGTGTTTGCAATGTATATATATGTATATGTATATGTATATATATATATGGGTGTATACGTTTATATGCTAACAACTCATTTATGTATGTATATCATATGCGCATATGTAAACATAGATATACATATATATGATGTATATGGATAGATATTACATTTTAACTAGCATTTAACTGCAATGGCTGAATCGAGCCCCAGCAAACAGACATCCCTCAGTGACCTGCTGCCTTTCATAGCCTTTTTTAATGAGTCAAATTTAATTAAATAAAGCTACTAATTCGAGAAATGTCACTTGCTATGCGTGTCATACACAAATGCCTAACTGGATAATGCAAATAATTTGAATGTTCCTTTCTTTTTTGTAAGAAGTGCATCTGAATCTATACATAATCATATTTATATATCTAATATATATATGTATATGTATATATATTATATATATATTATGTGCCCAAAATAATTTGAAGCTATTACACTGTAGTGCCGTATGCATTGTTAAACACAGCACGCGAGCTGTCTGTATCCAGTGATATATCCTCGGGACTGGCCAAATCGACGCGCACGTTGGAATTGGTGCGTCGGCGCGCCGTCTGCGCTGCACCCCAATTGCTCAAGGTCCAGTGAAAGCCAGATGCATTGGGTGCAGGCGTAGCATCAACTTTTACCTGTGTGCAAACCTGCACAGTTTATGGATAAATTAGTTTCGGCAGCAAATCTCTTCAGAAATCAACGTACCTCACGATTTCCACAAGGCAAAGTCTCTGTGCCGTTGCCTAACGCTGAGCCAGACACAGAGCCGGAACCAGATTCACGCGTGCTGCCAATGCTACTGCTACTGGCAAGCGAATCATTGCTAGACTCCAGGACGGCCCCATGATAGCGCGCTACCGAATGCACAGCCTGCCAAGAAAGGTATTCAATTACCAAACACACATATATTAAATTGAAAGAACACACCATTGCATCGCCACCCTGGCAGTCTTCAATGGACTTGAGTATCTCCCAGACGAGCTCAGAGTCCAACGGTATGGGCTGCTCTGTATCGCGGTTATAAATAGCAATGGCAATATGTACGGGATGAGGCACTGGCAACGGTATCAACAGTTTCTCCGTGACGCTTCGCTCCGCGTTTTTCTGTTTCCATGGACGCCAAGGCCGTTTGGCTTCTGGCGTTGTTTTCGGCACGTGCTGAGCACGATGGGCGCGCACTCGTGGCGTTGTAAGACCCACGGACATGTCACTGCAATATTTAAATAAAATATTGAATACCTTTAAAATGTATGATAGAATAGGACTTACCGCTTCTCGGGTTTGCGGAAAGTCAACGTGATGCGTGAACGCGGATTAAATGCGGTTACTTCGAGGAATGGTAAATGCACCTGGACGTTGCCGCGAGGTGCATACACATTACCCAGCAAATCCAGCCCTTTGGAACCGATCACATCGTTGGCATTCTTCACCATCTCCGTATAGCGCATTAAATCAAGCGAGGCATGTGGTTCTAATTTAAAATGCGTGTCGTTTTCAGTCAATGGCGTTAGAAAATCTAAACTAAATATTTCGGTATATATGAGACCCGCGAGACCTGGCCAGTCGTTAACCGAGAGACCCTGTAAAGCAACCATACCGAAATTAAAGTATTCACATTGCAAGAAAGTCTATGATTTCTTGCTGAGTTCTTACTTTGTTGTCCCAAAATTCTTCTTCACTAATCGACAGCCTACCAACTACATGAGACGGATAGTATTTTTCGAGTAAATGGGCGGCCAGTTGTATGACAATCTGCAAATATAAACAACCCAGATTAACTATAGTATGCACATAGTGCACAACAGAGTATTTTAATTATACCTTCAATTCTTTGGTGTTCAGCTTAATCCGCGACTTGACCTGAGTGCTGAGACTGGTTTGCAGCTCCCTGCGCCGTTTCTCCAGCTTTTCGTGCAGCGAGCTCATTAGGTCTTGTGCCTCGCGGTCGAGCGCTAAATATGGACCAGTTTTCGACAACTGAGCGGAAAATGGACCAAAACAGGCTTCGACAAATTGCAGAAAATCCTGCTGTGGCTGTAATATTACACGCTCGGTAGCATGCTGATATGCCTGCAGTTCGTCCAGTTCCATTTTAGCCTCTAGTGCTGCCAACGCCTGTTCCGGCCGTATGATAAAGTAATAGTCCAAGGCCAACCCGGGCCCAGCGATCCGCTTTACAGCAATGCTATCCGATGCGGGCACACGTCCGCACTTCTTAATGAACAAATGGAACGTCACAGAATCCCACAGCAACCGCAGTGTATAACGCACAACCCCAACTGAAAAATTATAAATAATAAGAGCTCTAAGGACCATAAAGAGATTTAGTATATTTACCTATTAAAACGACACCTGCCGCGAGCGGGCAAAGCAACGTGGCCACCAAAATCGCCACCAGCGGCTGGAGCAGGCCCTGGATCAAAAAGTTCCATATGAGCACCTCTAGCAGAATGCAGTAACGATTTCTAGTGTTGTCCGGTGCATCGAGGTCATAAATTAATATCATGTAGGTGTGCAACAGGAGCACAAACACTGGAATCCACAGAGGTGCACTCAATGCCAAACCAATGCTGAGCAAACAGGTCGCCAGGCATATTATCGGGAATGCGAATAGAATTACAATAGTGCCCAGAAATCCTTTCACGAAGTAATTCCAAGTGCGGTTCAAATTGCGTGTCAAGCCCTTGCCAATGAAACCTGAAATTGGTAAAATGTTGCATGAGTTTAGTTTATAAATAAGCTAAATTAAAATGGGCAGTTAAAAGCAGATTAATAGGTAATAAAAACGTAATGACGTCAGATCTTTACATCAATTATTCTTCTTTAAAAGTCGAAAAGCTGTAAATTCTAGGAAGCATATTACCATTAATTACTAAACAAATTTCATTACAATATTAGGTGGCTAACAATAATTTAGATATCAAATAAATATATGTATTCTTACCTGTGTCAGGTTCAGTTTCGAAATGAGTGCGCGATTTTGATATGTGTCGCCAGAGTTCGATTAGCCGCGAGGCTAGAGTCTGGGTGATGCTGGTTTTGCGCGGAAACAGGGTGCCATTGATTTGAGACAATTCCAGGTCGGGCATGAAGGGCTTAATGCAGAAGAGTGCCCGCAATCCCAGCGGACTACACCAGGGCACAAGAATTCCGAGCAAAAACATCATGTTCCAAGTCCAGCACCAGGTGCGTTGCAACAGATTCAACAAACGCCAAAAGGGCCAACGCGTGCTGGTGGTGCGTATCATTTCCTTCTCAACCAGAAATACAGGTTGGCTAGGATCGGAACGTGGCGTGACTATCGATGTAGCCTGCTGACTGATGACCGTGGGGATCACATCCGATTGTCCCTGAAAATTGCGCCTGATGATCCACGCCTGTGGCGACCAGATACGACATGCCCATTGGAAACTACGCGTAGGCGTCTTGGCATTCTTCAGCTCTTTCAGCAGCACTGGCTCACGCTCCTTCATGAACGCCAGATCGCGTGACAGAAAGTAGGCAGTCTGCTGCAGATTGTGCTGGCTACACATCTTCAGTGCTTCCTCGTGCGCTGACCAGGCACACTTGTACAGCTTGTGCTGTTCTGCGTTTCGCAGCTTGGAGCGAAGCCAGGGCGCAACGCGTGACAGTACTGAGTGATCGTTGGCCAAGCACTTCTGGTGCTCCTCGCGAGTTCGCTTGATATCCTGTTGCACCTTGTCAACGGCCTTGTACATAATAACAACCGACTGGGCCTGATCCACCAGCAGCTGCGGCACGCCGTTACCAAGTTCGGCCAGCTTGGCATTGGACATGATGGAGCTATACACACGCTGCAGGTATTCTTTCATGACTGCATCGTTAACTTCCTCCTCGATTTCCTTGTCGTTTAGTTTCTTGGCGCGTAGCTCGGCAATCAGTCGTTCGCGGAAGTGCAAAAACCAGCCTCGTGTCTCACGCTCCAGTATTCCCACTAGGATGGGAAGTGCTTTACGCATTATGTCCCGGCAGAACAGGCGCAGATCGATCTCTTGGCCTTTAGGTGTCAGAAACAGGTATGGCACCGGCTGTGTCACCTCGCAGCTGTTGAAATCGAACTTTTCCATCGTTGCTCGACGTAGCATTTTTCGCACATAGGAGCAGAGGCCATCTAGGCAGTCTTCAAACTCCGGCTGCAAAACAAAATAATACACGTAATATATTATAAACTCTCCAGTACGATTAGGAAGTATTTAATTAGTACTTAATAGGTAATTAACTCACCCGACACACCAGCTCAGCTATGAGGAAGCGGCAGCGCTCCTCCTTAATCTTGTAGTCCAGATTGTGGGCCAGCAATGCGGGCACACCGATAAACATGTCTACTAGCCTGATGAGTGCATTCAGCAGAGCATGCATTGCATGCACCACAGAAAAAAAGTGGGAGAAGATGCGGGCCCGGGCTGTGACGACTACGAAGCGTGCTGCCAACGCCAGGTCGCTTAAGAAGGAATCATGGGCGCGTAGGGTGCCCTTTTGCAGGAGTTGAGAGAGGCGCCACTTGTGGACCTGGCCAGTAAAATGCAAACTGGGAACGTCGAATTCACTGTGAAAGCAAATCAGAATGTTTTAGACTGTTGATAGGATTCATGAGAGCAACAGATAAAACACATATGGGCACAACACAGTGATGCGAGACAAAATTAAATGACAAATTATAAGCATGCTTAAGCGTGGGCCAGATTCTTAATTTTGTTTGATCGAATTCACGTGACTATGATAAAATTAATTAAATTAGTTACACTTAAAATTAGTTTGTGTGCGAGTGAAAAGATTTGTGAAATATGTGTGTGTATTCCCTATTTGAATGACTAAGTAAGTACTAATTGGCTAATCAAAGAACAGTAATAAATATATACATGAATATCAGAAGTAATATTTGATATTCTATATTAAAAACTTAAAATCTATATTTTTTAGTTGTGGCAAATCCGTTAACATTATTGAATTCAAGAAACTTTAAGATCTCTAAACTTTTGAAAATAGAGGCAACAAGACTAATGGAAGCTGCCAAAAGATTTATTTTTTATATTCGTTTTGTCGTAAGATTTGATTGCGAATTTTCAATTCGTTTTAAAGGCATGCATAAATTTAGCGTAGCGTTATTTATGAATGGATATTTATAAACATAGAAAACAAAGTACCACGCATAATTTATGTATCTTGAGGCTAGAAGAAATTATAACTTTATATGCATGTAAATGTATACAATAGGTACAAAATATGATACACTGACTAAACAATTTGATATGCATTATGGCAAACACGCAAAACATTTATTTCGGTTTTAATTTGTTTTTATTTTTGGTTTTTGTAGTTCGTTGCTTATAGTTTATTTACCCATTTTTACGTATTGTTTCCAATTGTTCCAAAGTTAATTTCTTCGGCTTTCCATATTTATCCTTTTGCAAGCTTTACAGGAATATTTCACATACAAACATTTTGTTTACGTTAATTGTAACTGTATGCAGTTACGTACAGACACATATTTGCGCATTTTAACGTAATGTTAATGTTAACGTTGTTTCAAAGCTTAAAATAGTGAAGCATGCAATAAACGTAAAACAAAACTGAACCGCAAAAAATAAAACAATTTTCTCTTTCGCCCCAAAGACTTTTTAACATGCTTCTGATTGGCTTGTTGCTTTTGCTTCTTATTTTTTTGACAGCTGCATGTGCGTGCGCAAGGTGACAAATGATTTGCAAGTTGTCTAAGCGTTTGCAGAAAACAAATGTTGAATAGCTCCGCACAGCGGTGCAATTTTGCTGCTAAGCTTAGCAGCGGTATGTTAATGTTAGCTACATACATATATACATATATACTATGTATATATGTAAGCACCGGCCGTGCAACGTTTGTTTAATTGAATGTTATCGATTTAGCACTTAATGTTTATCGTCATCGAATAGAACGCGCCGACATCTATGCTCGAGCGCTTTATTGAAAAATCATCATATTTTCAGCTTGGCTGCATCATCATCATTATCATTAACTCCTTGCCAGACAGCAGCTCTTGTTTTTTTTGTTTTGTGCGCATGCATGCCTGCGACCCCAAACTCACCCAGTTTCGCGCAAACTTTTCAATTGTGCATTTGTGAGGCGACGCGGCTCGCCGCTGCCATCGGAGGCAACAGCATCCAATTCATCAAAGGGCGGCGCTATAAATAGGTCACTCTGATTAATGGGACGCTTTCTGCGACCGCTCACACTGTTTGTCGTATTACTGGCCGTTACATTAAGAGTGCTGGTCGCCAATGGTTCGGGCAGAACTGTAAAAAGAAAACACACAAAATCAAATAATAACTCAGTCAACACTTGTTAACAAAACACATTTGGCTCTTCGCTTACCAATCGGAAAACTCTTCCAGTGATATAAAAACTGCTCGGCAACGCATTTAATTTGCTGAACCAGCTGTTCCACTTCGGGCGGTGCTCCCACCAAATTGATGTTGAACTCAACGGGCTCACGCTCTGGCGCGGCCAGCGTTTGGGGGCGCAGCAATTGATGGTTGCCCGACGTGCTGCCGCTTGCAACTGTCGACGCCGACGACGGTGGCGGCTGCTGCGGTTGCGGCTGCAATGACATGATGCTGATAAGTTGCTTCCCCCCACAACAGGCGTTTATTCCATCATTGCGAGCAGTCTGTATCAATATTCAAATCAAAAGCTGAAAATATTTATGGAATCTGTTAATCCATACGCAAAACACAAATGCCAATTGAAATCGTTGAAATGCGCGCCATATTAATATTAATGATCCAATTGGAAATACATACACACACACACGCATACATATATCGCTTCTGTCTGTGTGCGTGCATTTGTATAGATCACAACAATTTAAGACATTCCAGCACAATGTAAACAATTAACTAAAGCAAGTGAGCACAGAGGCTGTTGTTCGCGTGGGGCAAATTTAGGAACTAAATATGCTTACACGTTAATCACTAACACTGTCAGCAGACACAGGTGAATGCAAGCAACCTTTCAAAATCCAAACGCTCAGCTCGCAAAGTCACTTTAACTCAATTTCGCGCTTCGTTAACTTTGGCGAGACGCGTTCGGACAGCGATTGTCAGTTTGCTGGACAAAAAAACATACATACATATAAATATATACATATGCTTATACGACTGCCAATTGTGCGTTCCACGCCCAACACAACAGAGACTATGCACCACCACCCCCCAGCACACCACACACAAGCTCTAGTGCTTCTCATTGTTCTTTATTGCGGTACACGCACACAACTCATTTCAGATTGTCGTCGGTTTTGAGTTACGGCTGCCTTTTACCTTGTTTTATATATCAAGTTGCTACTAGGCTAGCATGTGCGTATGTACGTAAGTAAACATGTACTAAACACAGATCGTGAATTTATACTACTACTACTTTCGAGTTACATTTATCGATGAATATTCGCTACAAACAGTTTGGGAGACATTGGTAGGCGGCGACAGACAGTCCGCAAATCACACATATTATTAAGAGGTCCTTGCGCTTCTTTTTAAGCACGATGTGTAACTAGCAATAGCGAGATAATGACTATATTTCGCGTACTGTAAATGTAATTTAGACTTACACTTGGTTTATTTCACAGAAAACATTTTAATCTTGCACAAACTATACTACGCGTTTTCTCACAATTGTATTACCATTTCGAGATATATAGGAAAAACTATCGATATACATTGCAGTGTGACTGCACTATGTTCTTTTGCAAAATACCATTTTCGTAGGACTCACTAACCCCAAACGTCCAGCTGACGAACAGCTGTATCAAGGCAACAAAATTTGAATTGCTCAACACTGTTGACATTGTTGCGCGATGTTTCCAAAATAAAAAACTCGAGTATCAAATGGAAGGCAACAAAGTAAAAAGATTATGTATGGCAATAAACTGTCATGCAAGTGGCTTGCAAGATTTTGACAACTTATATAGATTTCCCAAAAATGCAGAGCTCAAGCAAAAGTGGCTAGAAAATCTAGGTCTTACAAGCGATCGAATGCTGCCGTCGTCCCGATCCCTAATATGTCAACGACACTTCACTGCAGCTTGCCGAGGAAAGAAAAGGATATTTTCCTGGGCGGTGCCAACACTAAATTTGGGCACAGGTAATTACAGCAATCAGCTCAAGTGCACACGCCACAACTTAAATTTTGTGTTTCGCAGATTCAACTAAAAAACTACATCAACCAATAAAGCCACGAGAATTAATGCGGAAATGTTGTGCTAGCAACTGCAATTCAAAACCTCCAGAAATGTTGCATGCGTTTCCCATGAAAACGGACAAACGACGCTTCTGGTTAAAGCTCTGCGGATTGAATGACATGAGAAAAAAGTACTACATATGCCAAAAACACTTTTCAGCTCGTTTCTTGCATGGCGATAAACTATTATCAGATTCATATCCCGACTCAAACCTTGAAGGTACTGATCAACAGGCGTTAAATGTAGAGACAATTGATATAGAAGAGCATAAATATGAAGATGATGCCGATGACTCACCGGACATGTACACCAAATTCAGTGTTGCCGACAAAGATTCAGTTGATCAGCCATGCGAAAGAAGCTGCTTAAATTGTGTGAATAACAGGAACAGGAGTGTTGAAATGCAGAATGAAATGGATGCAATGAGAAAAAAGATAAAACTGCTGGAGAAACTGCTTGACCAGAAGAACGATAGCGAGGAAGAGGAGTACATATGGATGCTGCTCAAATGAATATAAACACGAGCCACGTTTGGCATTCACCATTTTATTCATCTTATTGCATCTGGAGCTCAATCTGCAAGAGGCGCTGATTTGTGGGACAATACGGCATGGTAGCAGACATATTGGTAATCGCCTTGGCACGCTCACGCAGCTCATCCAGTTGCTGCATTTGGGCTGCACCGCCCGGAGCCGCTGACTTCGCCTGTTTGTATTGTATGAGTACCAAGTCCATTGCTGCCACCATGACATCGGGTATGACTTTGACGATATCACCACTTAGTTGCTTTACAGTTGACAAGCACACGTCCACATCCTTAGGGGTGTTGGGTATAATGTTTGGTATGCCCTCCAGCTGCTTTAGCGCCGCACAATGCTTTCCATCGTGATAGTCGTCAAAGAACTTAAGCAAATCACGTAACAATGTGAAGATCACATGCACTTTAGGCTCAATATCCGAGGAGCCGGCAGCCGTTAGCTGGGTGCTAAAACGCCTGACTTCCAGACTAAGTCGTGCCCGTAATGTGCCCTCCGCTGGACGCTGCTGCACCACCTGAGCCAGCAGTATCGAAGTGTACTTTAAGGCCAGATTAAGATTTCCAGCAATGTCATAGAGGCGTATCGCCATCTCAAAGTTTCCGCGCGCCACCATTTCATCAGCCACCAGGCCAGCCATTGTGTGTGAATTAAACTCTGTGCAGCTAAACTGTCCAAAGAGGCCTCTGTGGACGAAAGAAGAGAATTATAAATCCAAGGATTTTCTTGCGAACCCAACTGTTATATTACTGCTAATCTATACTGAGTGTATTTAATTAAATGTATTAATAAATTCAATTAATATTTTTCTTTTTAAAATAATTATCTTTGAATTATATAAATGAGAGGAAGGTCGAGCAATTTTAGGTCTCTTTTGATCTGTTTATAAAGTTATTTCTATTACGTACCCCATTGACTGCACATCTTCGACCTCGTCGACTTGCTGTCGCTGGCCAAATATTAAATCGAATATGCTGGTGTCCAGCACACCGCTGTCAACGACCAAGTCGCAGACACATCTTAGGAACATGTTGCGTCCCTTGGGGTCGTGCAGGTTGCGCAGCGTGTAGTAGTAGTGGAGTGCCTCGGCAGTGTCCGTTGCCTCAAAGCGCTGCACATAGAGACGAACAAGCCGTGCCAGATTCAGACGACGAAGCGGCGTAGGATCGCATACATCAACTATGAGCAGAGGCTGGCAAACGCTGCGCACGCCACCCAACATACCCAGCTCATGCAGCGCTATAGCCATGTGCACAGCATGCACGCGATAAGCATCGGAGCGGGATAGAAATTCAATGGCCGCCTCGAACTGGCCGGTGAGCGCTAGCGCTTGGAAATATAGATGTGGATGTGCTGAAGCATTGAAGTACTTCTCGCCATAGTTATCAATGATTAAGCTCTGGAGCTGGCCATAATCTGCCGCGTCGCCGGTATGCAGCATGGACAGTCTAAGCCAGATAAAGTCGTCAATTGTTTTGGCCACCTCGCCGTGAACCTCGTTAACGTCGCAGCCAAGCAGGATGCAATATACAGCTTTCTTATAAGCATCAGTTGAGTTGCGTATTTTGTTGGCGTACTGCAGTTTGAGTTGACTCTCTGTCTTGGAGTTGACTACGCCTGCACTTCGATTTGCAATCAATTGGGCAAATTCATCATAGCTGGAGCCAGCCTCGCGGAGAAAATCTACAGCGGTATCAATGGCTCCGCAGCGCAAGCTATAATAGATAAGTGGCCAAAGGGGCCTGCCGCCAGTTGTCTCTACCAGGCCGATGACATCTTGTCCGCAAAAGCAACGATTTACATAAGCTCGCACCAATTGATAGTTATCGGCATTGGTGTCCATGTTCACCAGTGAAATAATGTATACTCTGTAGCGACGCTCCAGGTGTAGTTTGGCGTTCAATACAAACTCCGGCCGCTGCCGATTACTGATGGGATCTCCCTTACATAAGGCTTCGCCAACCTGAGTCATGTTGGAGAGTAGCATCCACATGTCGGTGAGACGCGCATCTCCAAAAGTGTTGGTCAGCTGTGCGAATTTCTGCACTAAATTTGGGCGAGACTCGCCTTTGAGCACGAGGGCATTGTACTCGCACAGCTCCTTGGCATATATTAGCCCCATTTCATCGAGGCAAGAGAGCGGCAGACATTCGCGCCGCAAGATTGCCTGGTCGGGCAGCCGCTGTAAGTCAATGAAATTCTGCGACGGTCCAATCAAAGCCTCCAGCAAACGTGTTTTTTCTTCGTTCCAGGAGCTGATTAGATTTTCCCATTTCTGCTTGCTGACCGTGTCTCTGATCTGTACAAAGCGCAAATATAAGTCATCCATATACATGTGATAAGAGTTACATACATTTTTATTAGTATCCTCGATGACGGACAAAACTGCATTCTCTCGCTCGTTTTTAAGAAACGTGCAAACATCTGTCTCCGCGCCAGCTACATCGAGGGGCGAGAAAGTCTTAGCCGCGCTGAGTTTCTCGAGCCTTTTATTCAATTTCGGCAGATCAATGCCCTTGGAGCCCAGCAATATTTGACTGCGGATAAGCAAACACGATTGCTATTCACATTTTTACAGAGTTATGTGCTAACAACTTACGCTTGGATTTCTTTGGTGCCGGTCTTGGTGACGCGCCTGTGCAGCTGCTCTGTGGCTTGCAGGACCTGTTGGAGTGTTCTCTCCACGCCGGGCAGTGCACAGTTATCGCTATCCTTTGTTAGGCTTTCAGCACGCTGCAGCAAAGTATTTAGGTCCATTTTGAAAATCTTTCAGAATTAAATAAAAAACGCGGACAGCACCGGAACGTAAACAATGTAAACAAGTGCTGTAAAACGAATCGAATAATTTTTCCAACACTAAATTTGTAAGCGCGTCATTTGAAAAAAAAACATAAAAAACAAAAAAAGCCGACAGGACTGAGCGAAATAAATCAATATTTGGGGCATGTTAAAACAGTTGTTACAGTTACGGCTATTTTTGTACATTTTTTATATTTACAGTATATAAGAGCCACTTGCCACTTATAGCTATTCATTAACATGACTCAATGTTTAATGAATACCAACCGCAGAATAACCCTATTGAAATTCATTAATTATTTAACTTAAAAAAGTGGTAAATTTTATTTCTCGTACCGTTACGCATACATAGACGCATGATTATAACTCACCCGATTAATAAAACCCCTAATTATTCAATCGTTTACTACGATTGTTGTTCTTAAAGAAGTCCATAGTCATTGTTGTATTGTTTATCTGAACTACATATTATGCCTTAGAGCCTTGATCTCGTTCAGCATTTGATTTATTTAACTGACAAATAAGTATTTGTATAGTTAGTCTTTAATTCCTATATATAAATTCAATTCATATTGGGTAATTTGTGTTATTGTGAAGATATATTTTGTTTTTCTTAAATGATTCAATCATATTCTTATTTTTACAGCTTGACAAGCCAATTACATACCCATTAAAAAAAAAAAATACACAACTTATTACTTGTAAAAATTATATTAAAATTGAAACTAAAGACATTATAACTTGCATTGTAACTGAACAGTTATTGGTTTGAAAAATTGTGTACTAACTTAACCTGCATTGTTGCTAAGTAGTCACCACAAATGATGCTAGGCAACATTTTGGATCCTTACATATTTGTTAAGATGTTTATTTGTGGTTTTGTTTGCCCTTATAACTTATAGGTACTAGTATGTATATTTTGCCATCCGTCCTAGGACCAAGCTGTTTTTTTATAAGAAAAACCAATTGTACAATCCAGAAGCTGACACGTTCTTATGATACAATACAGCTGCTTTTCTCGGGAGGGTTACCATTCTCGTTCTCAATTAACATAAGTAACTGATGAAAAATATCGCCCACAGACTACAGAAACACAGAAAGACAAAGGTCAATTAATAATTCCATAACTTCCTACTCTCACATCACAATGTACTCACCTCATTTTGCTTTGCTGATGTTTCGAGAAAAGCGGCCCGCCAACTGTCGGCGAGTTTTTTGCCCTCTTCTGTTGAAACAGTGCGCTCCTGATGCAGATCTGTCTTATTGCCTACTAAGACCACAGGTACACTGAAAAAATGAATAAAATTAAACTGAATTCGAATCGAAAAAGACAGCATATATGTCTTACTATTTCTTGCCCATCACATCTAACAGCTTTTCGTAAATAATTTTGATGACTTCAAATGATTTTTGACTGGTTATGGAATAAACGAGAACATATCCATGAAAGTCCATGCTGTATTGCACTGGAAATATGCTGTATTCATCTTGTCCAGCCGTATCGACCAGTTTGATGTTATAATCTTGCGAGTTCACACGCGTAATTTTGGTGAATGCTGTAATTTCATGAAATTCAACGCGTAAACATTAATCGTTTATCAAATTACGTTCTTTGTGCATGCTTTAACCACATGACCGTAAATGTTGAATGCCATCAGCATCCACTGTGGTGTTCACACTGCTTTCTATGACTAATGTTGTCAAATGAAAAGCGACTGTTGCTTACGTTTGCTTTAAAGTTTATGTTTGCAAGAAACAGCTGCTTTTAGTACACATAAACGACTTACTATTTTCAATGGTTGGATCGTAAGAGTCCACGAATTGGCCCTCAACAAACTGTATACTGAGCGAAGATTTGCCTGTTAATGCAAGTGAAACGCAATTATTATATAGGAATTTTTTTAATAGTTAGCAATGTTGTCCGTGTCTGTGTCTGTTGTCAAAATACTACGCAATTACCAATAACAACAACAAGAACAACACAAACGCACTGACGGCCCATATAACTACAGCAGCAATAGCAGAACGATTAGTCAGACTGGAGCTGGTGCTGATGCTAGTGCTGGAGTATAACTCTAATTAACTTACCCACTGAGCGATATCCCATCATGGCTATATTGCGTTCTTTTGGTGGCATTATGTAGGCCTATTTGATTATTTCTACAATGTATAATTGTCTTTGCCCCTAAGAGGGTGTGTAGGTGTGTGAGTGTGTCTGTGCGTTTGTGTGCGCCGTTTACTCGATTGTGATCTTCTAGACTCTCAACTTGCTCTAGATACTTGTTGCTATCACAGTTGTAAACTTGCTGCAGCGTAGTTCAAATTCTATATTGTTTAATTCAATTATGTATTATTTCACAGAAAACATTCTGAGTTTACACTAACTACGCGTTTTCTTTGGCTGTGGTCACCCAAACTATTTAACATTTACCTCGCTGTTATTAACAGCACGCTGTCAATTGATTTAATATTTGACGCCGACGTTAAATGCTTATGATTTACAATGACTTAAATAACGGTAATAATTATTATTCTCTTTTTTAAATAAAAGTTAACAGTTTTAAAACTTTAATATACCAAAGAGAATATATCTTGAGAAAAAATTTAAATACTAAAGTACCAGAAATGATTTGTTATCGAAATCGACATAGCTCACATCTCTAAGGTCGCTAGAAACATCTGTTTTGTGAAGCATTTTTCGTGAAAATTTGTGCTTCAGCTTGACTATTTTACTTGAAATCGTTTGATTAGAAGTTTAGCCTCTGAAATGGGGACAAAACGTCGTAACATCGAAGATGAGCTCTCACGCTTTGAAGCAGAGATCTCAAAGCCGCCAGCTCGAAACCTCTTTGTACCCAATCAAGTGCGTCCGATAATCGCGGCAAATACGTACACCAACGTTCAGCAGAAATTGCAGCAGCATCAGCCGCGAATGACGGTGCCTCCTCCGCCAATACCACCACCGCCTACATTTATGTCCACATTTGTACCGACGGGCAGCAGCTCTTCCACATCGCCAGCGAAGCCAACATCAGCCACCCCGGTTGTACTTAGCAGCGCCCCAAAGCTCTACCAATGCCGACAGTCGGTTCATGTTCCAACGGTGGCCACGGCGCCGGCAATCGATATCAACATCAATTCCATACAGTTTGATGTTACGCAGAAACTCAAGAAGCTCAAGGCAGAAAAGTCGGGACCCAATCCGATTGCAGAGGAAGCTATCAAAGCAGCGCGCGCCTCTTCGGCTCTGCAATCATTTCAAACCACAGAGCGGAAGAAAAAGGATCGTAAAACGGTGCGCATTGCTGGTGGCACTGTGTGGGAAGATTCTTCATTGGCAGATTGGCCGGATGATGATTTCCGCATATTTTGTGGCGATCTTGGTAACGATGTCAACGATGAAGTACTCACGCGCACCTTTAACAAGTTTCCATCATTTCAACGGGCACGTGTTGTACGAGACAAACGAACCGGCAAGAGCAAGGGATTCGGGTTCGTCAGCTTCCGGGAACCGGCCGACTTTATAAAAGCAATGAAAGAGATGGATGGCCGCTACGTGGGCAGTCGGCCAATCAAGCTGCGTAAGAGCACCTGGCGACAGCGCAGCCTGGATGTGGTGAAGAAAAAGGAGCGTGAAAAGCAATTGCTCCTGCAGGCCTTCAACTCTATGAGTTAAGTGCGCTACACCCACTATCAATTGAGAAGAAACACTTTTAGGCTAGTTTTGGTCGCATTTCGATGTAAATAAAATTTGTTTTTAGATTGTTCGGATGTGGCTGCTGGAGAATAAGCGTAAATTAAAACAAATATTAAAATAAATATTTAGAAAACGAAATAAGTGATGGAATTATTTAGCCAGTGATCTATTACAATATTGAACTAGGCGTGTGCCACAAACAGCTAACAACGTACACAGCTTAGGCTATTGATTATTGATTGATTTGATAAGTTATTATGCATATGCCGCGCCTTTTACTTAACTTAAATTCTGAGCTACAATACCCCATTACACTATGCTACGACTACAAACATGCATACATACGTACATACATACATCTAACCTGAACAGAATTCCCGCACAGCTGTGCATTAAAGCCCACATTTACTGGTATAATTTACCTTTAGGAATAGTTTAGCTTCCATGTCGTAAGTCGTTCCATATTAATTAGTAAGCAACCTGTACGTATTACGACTTTAAAAATACTTGTTCGATGCAACATTCCTGTGAAGCCCTAACACCACTTGCTCGTCTGCTTACCCAGCAGCGAGCTGCATGCTTCACTTCCTGGCTCTCTTATTGAATCTGTCTCCGATTGCTTCAGGTTGGGCCAGCGTACATATGGCTTGCCAGCGTTGCTCGCGAAAATTGAAGGATAATATTGTCTATAACTGATGTATCCACTGAATAGACCAATGAGTGAGCCCACTGTCACATCCTGCCAATGATGGTGATAGTCGCAGGTGCGACTAACGGCCACCAAGGAGGCCACAATCAGAGGAATAACAGAGATGCACATTCGCCAAGTCTGGCCCCTTCCACGTGCATCGAAGGCGTGCAGCTTGGCGCCCACGTAGTAAGTTACAAATCCAAAGCTGGCAAAGGCAACTACAAAATATTTGCAGGAGAAGATTAGTGTAAATTCGAGTATACATTTGCATTGGCCCACTTACACGATGAATGTCCGCTGGGGAAGCTCTTCCGTCCCTCGTTGATGATGCTCGGTTTGCCCGTGCAATTAAAATCGAGTAATGCACTGCCCAAAGCGCTGGCAGTTTCATTTAGCAGCATAACGCCGTCAGGAAAGCAGCGATAGAAGAAGTCTGGACGTGGTCGTCCAACGGTAATCTTCAAGAGACTCGTCGGAATGCTATTCATGCACACCGCTAATGTCCACGCCCAGCTGGCAGCCCGAAAATCTCTTCGATCTTTGGTAAATGCGTAGACTACTGATGTGAGAACGAACGGAACGGTAATTACCAAAAATAGCAGATCGCCGCTCTTAACAATGTCCGGACGGATTGGATTTTTATACAGCCACAGTTCCTCCACGTGGATTTCCCGCTTAAATGCAGGCATCGTTTCCAATTTGCTAAAAGTCCAATTGGATAGATAACAATAAATTGATGATTCACTCTACGTAATCAACTATTCGTGCTACTCACAAAAATATCAATACAATCATTAGGCGTATAGCTATATCGGCCAGATTGCTGTATTTCCTCGATAGCTCCTGCTTCTTGGGTTCAGCCTCGGGCAGCAGGAGATCTTTTTGCTGCAGTTCATTGCACCACATGTCGTCGTCGTCTACTTCGTCCACTTCTGGCTCCTTAATGGAACTTTTACTAGGACTACTTCGATGTAGCGCTGATTTCACAGTTGTTTCACTTGACATTTCGACCAATTGGGAATTGTGCTTTGGTTCCGTTAAGAGTTCTGTGTACGGCTGCCTTGTTGTCTGAATAATTGATAAGAGATAACAATTAGCAAAGTCATTAGACTATTACACAAAAGATATACGACTTTTATACATGTATTGATGTGATAAGATAAACAAGCACAAGCATATCACTACATACATATATACATACATACATACATGCGCTTAAGCTTACATACATACATGCGCTTAAGCTTACATACATACACAGCTGCCCACGCATACATACATATACAGGTGCTCATACATACATATACGCATATCCATGTAATCTTGTGCCCATCCCCAAAATTCTAGTTTGAATCATTGTGAATCTACGTAGTGAGCTCATATTACATTATATAAAAACAAATTATTTAGTCACACTGTGGGTCATTCAGTCATTAGCATGCAAGGGGCATTTATTTGATTTTCGTTTAGGTAAACACAAACAGACAGAAACTAAACATCAGTAAATTTGCGGCACCTGCGCTACTTCATCCGACCAAGACGCAGTGTCGTCATTGTCGCCTTGTGTGTTGTTGTTGTTCATTGACTTTCCGTATTTTCGACTACGTAAATCCGCGTTCGCCCTTTGGCTATGATGCATTGTCGAAAGCTTCTCAAATATGTATACAAACTCAACTTTGGAACTCTAGTTAGAGCGTCCCCAACAGTTTGATAATTTCAAGTCGCGAAATTGCTAATTTTCGATATTGTCAACTGGTACCTCTAAGATTACAACCTAAACTAACTACTACATGCTAATTGCACCGGGTTTTTATAAACTTTCTCTAATCCGCAGTTGCTACAGTGATGTATCAGCATCGCGTATACTCTGCACCGAAGTTCATATACTCTCACCAAACAATTTAAAAGCAATGTATGTGTATGCGTTTCTTTGATCACAATTTATTTTAATAGATAAACTTAATATTTTGACTTTAACAAATTCTTATTGGCTTTCCGTTATCAATATCTTGTTAGAAACAAGTGTAGTAATAGTAACACAAACAGACCTTTAGTAGAGTAGGTTAGCATCTGTAGCCACAATGGGAAGTTAACAGTTGAGATGCGCAGTTTGGTTCAGCTTTCAGTTTTGTCAGTTCCAACTGTTGCATCAGCTGATAGGTCCCAGCAATGTTACTTACAGACCCTCAAGAAATACATTCTTTATTAATAGTATATATCAGAGCTTTTTAATTATTTGTAAGCTTATCTACAAATTTTGTCTGTTGAATTTTGTTCACAATTGAACTACATAACCTTTTTATTTGTAAACTTTGTGCCCGTACTTAACATACCACTGTCCAATAACATAAACGAAATACAACGTTGCCAACCATGGTAAAGTTGGACAAGAACAGGCTTGTATTCGATCATATGATTAGAGCTGATTGTGCTTGTTTGTTTTCATAACATATTGAGTTAAATTTGCTAATTTAGATAAGTTATAATAATTAAGATTTAAGTATAGACTAAAATTAAACTGTGCAATGTCTAAAAAAAACACTAAAAATGAAAAAAGTGCTGCTGGAGAATTGCTTGACTCCCTTTACTTGGATATGTTTCATCTAATCGAAGCACACACCCAATGCCGTATTGACATTGAACGGACGAGCTCCGATGGCTCAATTCTCCTAGCACGAACCAAGTTCCAACAGGGAGGTCAATCATTATCGACCGCACAAATCCCAGCTGAAAATAGTGCAGAGTTTAATGCTCTATGCAGAGTTAAAAAGGCTTCAGACGAAGACATCAGCATAGAGAGACATCCGGTGGATAAAGAGAACGGTTACGTGGAGCCTTTATATTGGTTCAGCGTATTGCCTCCAATGAGTTTACGGAGCGCAGTAGATAAATTTAAAAGAACGATCGATTTGATAGCAGAGAGTGCAAATCTGCAAAGGGAGCTTAGTAGAGTACTGGATGGCATTAACAGGCTACGACAAACTGTTGCATTGCAATAATATTGAATAAATTATATGTACATGTGTGTTACAAAATAAGAATAAAGTTGAAAGTTCTAAATATACAAATCATTAATTATGTACTGGGCTGTTATTTTAGCCACCCAAACCTATCGAAATATGTTAGCTATCGATAATAAATAATTTAGAACATTTGCAATATTGCGCAAGTGGATAGTCTCATCAGCTGTTTCATTTTTATTTTACAGTTTGCATTCTTAGTAAGTGGACAGTCTCGTTGCTCATCATTTTCGTATCTAGCCAATGAATCGATATATATATGTGTAAATATATATATACATATATATATATTTACATATGTATAAACTTTAGAGCAGCCAATCAATAATTGCTAAAAAGCAGAGTCGGAGAATTGGCATTCAGAACGTTTACGAACCTATTGCAGATTAAATTATAGAACATGCAAATTATGAATAATAGAGGCGTAGCGCCCAGCAGATAACATTGTTCAAGTTCTTTTAAAAAGTCGCACACAAACAACGAGAACATCGCGCGCCTTTGTTGCTCTGTCTGCGCTTGTGAGCTGCGGGCGACATTCCCGTTTTGAGATTTGTCGCGCGTGGCTACCCCACCCAAAATTTCACACGCTCTCACGAAAACACCTTAGTGCCTGTAGAGTGCAGCCATGAATAACGCTCAGACCAATGGAGCTACGTCAGCGTCTGAGGCGCCCTTGCTGCAGCTGGAAGATGAGGTGGATCTCATTGGCGACTTTGTGAAGCAGCAGCCAGCAGCAATAATCAGTAGCAACCAGCTGGCACCGCTCCTGAACGGTCGCGATGGAATTGGTGTCAATCAGTTGACTACTCAAGTCGAGGTGAGCATTTCGACTAGTCCCAAATTGACAAAAACAATGTCAGAAACTGAACTCATCTTCCCCATGCACAGATAAATACGATTGGCGTGAGCGAGAGGGTGACGAGCGGAAAACGAAGGCCAAAACGAAAGCCAAAAAGAGATCGCGATCAAATTCTATTATCAGTTGACGACGATGATGATGATGATAATAATGATGATGGAGAGAATGATGCTGATAATGATCTTTGTGTCTCTGATGATGTGGCTCACATTGATGGCGCTGGCGGCGATGTTGGCGCAATTGTTGATGTATTTGCCATTGGCAAAAAGCAATTACAAAGCAACCATCTGGTTATGCTGCACGACATCGGCGACGACGGTGATGCCGATGGCGAAGACGAAGAAGACGTTTTACTGCATAACAAGCAACCCGCCCTACGCAATGGCAAATGCAAACTCTCCAAGGAGAGCAGTGAGAGCGCTAGCGGCACAGCAAGCGTAACGACGTCGCAGCCGACTAGTCACATTGTAACACCAACGCGACGCGGACCAGCAACGACATCATCCGCAACATCGCCGCTGAAAACAACGACACGTTTGCCGCACGAGGAGGCCGACGATATTTGCCTGGTGCCAGAAATCGACTTCGAGGGCATGTCCACGGACGCAGGCAGCGACAATCGCGAGTCCCAGCCGCTGCTTGGCGGCGGCGGAAGTGGAAACCATGCCAGTCGCATTAGCGATCTGCTTGGTGGACTAGGACTTGGACATGATCACGTTGACCTCATGTCCAACACATTTGGCGGTGAGTGCTCTCTGCTTGCTCTGCTTACTCTGCTCACATCAACAAGTCACAGTCGCAACTGAAGTCGTACAAAGTCATGTGGGGCTTCCTTCGCTGTGCCAATGTTTCTCTGTGTGTGTGTGAGAAAGTAATTCATGTGAGTGACTGGCGTGAACTTTATCTCTATTGTTCAGCTTGCAAAGACATTTAATCTAGTTTCCTACAACCAACTGTCATATGCCATATCAGCATTATCCAAAAGTGCAACGAGGCCAATGCTAATTATACCTTACATCAAACATGTCTACTCTGCCAATAAGATGACTCAGAGTTAAGCTCGGATATACCCTGCAGTAGAACAAAAAAGGGTTTACATATATGTATATTTAGAGTACTTTCATTCCATTTAGTTTAAAAATATATTCAGTGCATAAACAAAATTCAGAACACGCGCTGTGAGCAACAAATTGGTCTCGCCCCCTCGACTTTCGCCTATTATTCAATCATTATGAATATACTATAATCGGCATTTGTTGTGCATTCTCTCAGCAGTTTGTGTCGTTCGAATATGTGTGAATTGTTAAGTGGAATATAGTTGATTGAATTGCGTCAATTCGTGATTGAATGCGTCACCCACCCTAATGCTATTATATTGTAGTTGTAGAAATATTGAACTAAAAAACAAAATTTTAATATATCGCTTTCATGCTCCATTGCTTTTAGCATCAGAATAGTATAAACTTTTTGCCTTGCAGCGTATAAATTGTTTGTTAATTCATGTGTTTGGATTCATTTCGGATTAGTTTTTTAATCACAATTTCACGACTTATACTAAATTTCGATCATAACAAATTTTGCGAATGTTAAAATGGGCGTTGGAATGCAAACTGTCGCCCAATGGACTTAATCAATATCAAGAGTAGCCAACGTACAATGATCAGCAATGACATCAAACCAGACAAATGCAGAAGCTAACAAAGCGAATGCCGACAATGTGTCCATAAGGCAGCCGGCGAAGCGGGGCAGTGTAAACACTGCAACCGCAGCCGCCGCTGCCTTTAGTGGCGCAGAGTCAAGTGATTCGGAGTATGAGCCGTACGGATGTACGTGCAAACAGAACAAATGTGATGCAGAGGTAAAGGATTATATTTCATCGGGAGAGGAGACACCTCCGATTTTATATACTGCTCCCTCTGGACTTCGCAATTCTCAAGATTCTGTCACATTTAAAATAGCACAGCCGAAATGTCAGTGTGCCAATTGCCCGGTGAAGAACCTGTGTAAGTCGCTGTCAAGTCGACATATATAAATGTGGGTCAGACCCTATCTAAACGCTTTAGATATGCAAATTTCGAACTGTTTGCCTTTTAATGAGGGCCCCTATTCGATGCGATAGCAACCTGGAGCGAGTTTACTTGGCCACCGACACACATTTCATTGTGATGCCGCGCTCATTGAGCTCCAGTCGCGAGAATTTTATACAGCATGTGTTTACCATCTGCCAGGATCACTGTGACTTCAATGACAACTTTGACTTCATAGGTACTAAAACAGTGATCAAATGAGTTTATCTTAGCATTGTGGATTTTTTCTTCTCGGTTTCACCTATGTGGCAGTTGGATACCGAATTTGCATTAAATACCTGCTGCATCTGCCTTGCGGTTAACCACATGTTTTCGTCCCCGTCATGTTTTAGCCATATATTATACATATGTATATTATTATATACACACACAACAGTCACGCAACGTTTAGCTCATTAAGTTCTACTTGAAAGTTGATTATTTATTTATAAACAATGACTCTTGGTTAAAACTTTTTGAACAGTCCGCGTTGTGGCATTGTTTAGGGCATGCGCATTTTTGTATTACGCACAAATTTTATTAGTAAATCATAGACATGTATTTAATTTTTTAATATTTTTAAAATCTTTTTAAATTTATTTCAGACGATCCGCTCTTCTCGGAAATCGTGGCACAGGCTGAGTATGCGATCGAGCAGGGCGTTCTACCTGAGCGTATCTATCAGGGCAGCAGTGGTTCCTATTTCGTCAAGGATGCTTCAAGAGTAAGTTTAACTAACCAAATCGAAAGACAAATATCCTTAAATTACATAAGATAAAATTTTCTCATTCGATAAAGTAAATATTTGATGACTTATAGACAACAAATTTTCTTGAACAAGTTGCTTAAACTATTTCTGCATATCAAATGCGCTTCGCATAGTCCAAGCCACTAAGTTAGAGCTTGCGATTAAATAAATAAGCGCATATAATAAATCATCAAACAAACGGGGAAGTCTTGTAATAAAAGTATTTCACTTGACTTTTGGTTTGGCTTTGAAATAAACAGTTACATATATACATACATTTAAAACTGCATTAAAATGTAAATCTAATTGATGCATTCCATTTTGAAATAATAGCAAAGATGTCTGGCCGTCTTCAAGCCAAAAGATGAAGAGCCATATGGGAGACTGAATCCGAAATGGACCAAGTGGATGCACAAGCTTTGCTGTCCGTGTTGTTTCGGGCGCGCCTGTTTAATACCAAATCAAGGGTAAGTTTTATTTATTATTTTATTTGGGAAACACACATTAACTATATTATCTGATAGCTACCTCTCCGAGGCTGGCGCGAGCTTGGTGGATCGTAAACTGAATCTAAACATTGTGCCGAAAACACGAGTGGTTCGACTTGTGGCCGAGAGCTTTAACTATGCGCGCATAGATCGCCAAAAGGCCAAGTTGAAGAAACGTATTAAAGAGCACTATCCGTCGGCGCACTTCAACCGCATGAGCCTGCCACTAAAGGTGCATGGTCAGCCTAATTAAACACTAAACACTTCTCATTTGATGATTTCCATTCCACAGACTGGATCATTTCAGCTTTTTGTGGAAGGCTACAAGGACGCCGATTACTGGCTGCGTCGATTTGAACATGAGCATTTGTCGCCGGCGCTCGCCAAATCCTTTCAGCTACAGTTTGAGCGTTTAGTTGTTCTCGATTATATTATTCGTAATACGGATCGAGGCAATGACAACTGGCTTATTAAATATGTTGCGCCCAAACTGGTGGGCTCGGTCGGTGGGACTGGTGGCAAGACAATGTCGCATGCCAAAAAATTCGTGCCTGGCCAGACAATAATAGACCTTAATGAGCCGTCAATATCTGCTCCGATTAATAACGCAGATCGCATTGAAGCCGGCGGATCTCCTGCACCCACTTCAATTGGCGTTGCTGAATCAGCAATTGGTGGCCATACTAGCAATACCAGCAGCGAGGATGAAACAAGGAAAAATCTGAAAGACCCGGACTGGAATATGGTGGAAGCACCACAAATAAGAATTGCCGCCATTGACAATGGCCTGGCTTTTCCATTTAAACATCCAGACTCTTGGCGAGCATATCCGTATCATTGGGCCTGGTTGCCTCAGGCCAAGATCCCGTTTAGCAATGACATAAAGGATCAGGTGCTGCCCCAGCTGTCCGACATGAATTTCGTGGAAGAAATATGCACGGAACTGCTATACTTATTCCAGCAGGACCGAGGCTTTGATAAACGACTCTTTGAGCGTCAAATGTCCGTAATGCGCGGACAGATTCTAAATCTCACTCAAGCGTTACGGGATGGAAAATCGCCGGTCCAGTTAGTTCAGATGCCAGCTGTTGTTGTCGAACGGTAAGAGAGTACGAGAGTACGAGTAGAGCAACCTCTAGTAATAGATACTAACTGTGATTGTTCTCTTTTACTATCTTCACACAGCTCGAGTGGCAGTCGCTTTTTTTCATTTACACAGCGCTTCCAAAACAAGAGTCCCTTCTTCTCTTGGTGGTAGGTTGACATCTATATAAATAGAATTATACAATGTTTCAATAACTTTACTCTCTTTCAGTTAATTGGTCTCAGACATGCCGAGCACCTGTATTACCCGCCAATTCTACTGGTCTGGTCGCTTTCTTGTTATGTACTATATAAACAAAAGTTTTTAGTTGTATTCAATCACTTTGGATTTTGTTAAATTTGTTAGTTTTAACAGCATGTCGAAAAAATGTATTTATGTACATATACACACCAATAGCCATGTATATATTCAAGGTTAATAACCGATGCATGTTGTTTTCCTTACTGTTCCTTTGGTTGGATTGTTAAAATGTATACAAAATGAATAAGCCACATTCGGCACAATGTCCATTCCAAATTTTGTTAATCTTGCGCTTTCATCATGGTTACACTTTCATTTTTAATTTATACCAAAACATATCAGTGTGAATTATTTACAAACGGCTTCAAATTAATGCCCATACTTATTGCTAAGGCCAAGGACGCACTGAACTTATTTATTTCAATCCCCTACATTGTGAATATCATCAACAAAAAATACCATAAATCAGTTAACACTCCCAAAGTTCGGTAGTCCCTGAGCTATTTAAATTTATCATAAGCTATATAATCAAGTGTTACTATGTCAACTAGAGGAATTCTTCTATATATATTTATATATATATAAATGAATTGGAATATAAATATATATATAAATAAATGGATTGTGCATATGTTTAAACAAAAACTGTAATCAAATATAATGCCTTGTATGTATAAAAAAGCGCTATGTTTACATTGGTTCGGTTGCGTTGGGTGGGAGCAACTGATAGCGCTAAGAAAGAATGCAAACATAAATGGTGCTATCTTAATGTTGTTTTATAAAACGAAAAATGTATGATTGTTGTGTAAAGAATATATAACATACATATTATATATTTGTATATGTAGAAAAATGAAATTTACATTGGGGATTAACATGAATTTATTTTCTTATCTAAGTACTTTTCTGACTCCGAGAATTCAACAATAGCTTTAATGATGGTCATATACATCTAGATAATTCTGATTTGCCAGTACTTCATTCTGGTTCCCTGCCATTTAAAATACAAGTTAACTTAAATTGTGGAATGGTCGAAAAATAAATACGTTGCACTTTCAATGCAAATATAAACAATAACAAAACAATAAACTATCACTGTTACCAATAGCTAAATTAATGAAAGTATGTCACTTGAAGCATCTGACGTAATTCGCTTAGCGAGCAGATGATCACCAGCAGGAACAATCCCATTAGTATAATCCTCTGTATCCTGTTTCGCCTCAAGGAGATCTTCGTTATTGGCCATATTCATGATGCTCTCATTCTCCAATGGGCTAACGCTCATATCACCGCTTGTGTTTGCCAACGCCGGCAAACTACGTTTGGATGTCTCTAAAAACGTTGTGATAGAGGGCTGGTAGCTTGTACTAAGCATACTTCCGTATCCCTCGTATTTGTACCAGTTGGTCGGAACTGTTCCGGTAACACAGAGATCTTTTGCAACAGGGACGGTGCTGATGACCTTGTTTGGCTTAAGGAAACGTACAAATCGTTCCAGCTCTTTGTAGCTAGAATGCTCTGAATATTCTACTCCAATTACACTGATACGCTTGCCGTAGGAAGGCTTGGAGTTCTTTTCCCAACCACTAGGTCGTATGCCAAGCAGCATATCATAGTGCCCTTCAAATGCCTTAAAGTACTGATCTAGACTCTGCGAATAAAAGGTTTCATTAGAAATGCTGTAATATGGCCGAAAAGGGATTACTTACCGGGTAGCTAATCTTTCCCATATTGATAACATGCAAATTAGCCTCGAGGGGATTATCACAAAGGCTCAGCTGCAGCTCGGGCCAATCGAGACAATCGATTGCTTTGCGGCGATGCGGCTCAGTCCAGACACGCAAACTAAACTCCTCGACCAAGGCCAGCCACACCTTCTCTTTTCCAATTAAATATGAGCCGCACACGTGCAATATACGCTTGTCGGCGTTCTTCTCATGAAATTGCCTCACAGCGGTCCGAATTCTATCTATACTGTCGGACTGATGACAAAAGTCATAATTCTTCGATAAATATGTTGTGTCCAGGTAAAGAACATCAATTTGTGGCTCGTTCCAGAAAATAGGCAACGACTCCATTTCAAAGCTTGCACGAAAGTCCCCAGTATGGAGAATACACTTGCCAGTGGTAAACTTGAACATCAGCATAATGGCACCCGGACAACTATAATACAGTAAAACAGGCATGGAATTACTCAACTGGATTAGGCTAGATTAGTACTACTTACTGATTGGCGTCTATTGCAGTTACTTCAATCTCATTGAGCGTTATAGACTCCCCAACTTCGATTTCATGCATATATTGGTTGTCAATGGGTATAAAAGTGCGCACGAGCTTCGCTGTTATTGGACTCATATACAGCGGATGCGCAAACTTCCGGGTGAGGCCCACATAGTGATCGGCATGATAGTGACTAAGAAAGTAGTGCGTCGCATTCGGTATGTCGCCAAATTGGAAACCATCGACTACGAATGTCGTATCTTCTACAATCTTATAGGACGGACAACGCTTGCGCTTTCGTTCCTTGAGCCCATTTTCTTTTGAGTGTGCACCAGCATCATTACTTCCCTGAGTTTCTAAATTGGGTATATTCACCATAGGTAATGGATTCAGCTGACAATCTTTCAATAAGTCAATTGGAATGGGCCTAGCGCTGATGCTTTGATTAGATTCTGACTCATTGTCGGAGCACAGATCAATTATGGCAGCCGGGGAAGTTGAGCATTTTGCCTTGGCTCTGCGTTGCGGCAGCGTGCGTTTTCTTACAGGCTGCCGTTTATTTTCGATATCCGAAGACAGCACAGAGGTTTTAGGAATAGTTTCCTTTGTTGTGGACTCTTCATCGAACAGCCGCTTGCATCCTTTACGTGCTTTTACTTTCATTGGGCTATTTTCTAATGAAACCTCAACTTTATAGCTTTTCGCGGAGCTCTTGAAAAAGGAATCGATGCGCATTTGACCTGGTAAAGGATCCTTTTTCACAGTTCGTTTGATCGCAGTGTTAGTAGTAATAACTTTTTTAGTTTCATCAGTACTCTTCTTCTTTGCTGTTGATGATGCACGTTTGCTTCCCGCCTTTTTCGGTTTTTCTGGAGTCTTGTTTTCATCTGCACTGGATATTGCAACTGCTATTACGTCACCTGTTTCATCTTTTTCAACCTGAATTTGCTGCAATTCAGCTAAGTTTCTTAGGCGAATTTTACCGACATTTGTTGACATGCTTATATCCTACGACCTGTTGTGCTTTGTATGAAATTCGATAATTTAAAGATAGCTGCTTTGGGGAAGCAATCAGAACCAACTGTGGTATCGATAGTGTAGTCAAATAAATCATCGATTTTATATGTAATGCACTTTCTTTTTTCAAACTACTGCTCGTTGGAAAAAGAATAACAAAATAAAATTTGAATAATTAATATAAAAACATTGATTGTGTATAAAATCTTACTTTTATTAATTAAAAAAAAAAAAAAAAAAAAAAAAAAATTATATTTCTGCATTTATTTGTGCTATATTTTCTTCTTCGATCTCCTCGATGAGATTATCCACAAAGCGGTCCAATTTAACGGCATCATACAATGAATATCCTAAAAGCCCATATCGTTTTGTGTACTCAACAATGTCTTCGGATGTATCATGTATGGTTTTAAGAATTGGAGCGGTCATTTTCAAAAGTCTGTGCCGTATATATACCGCAGTTTTATATTCCGCATTATCATTGTCAATCTTGATCAAATACGGTTGGATTCCTTCCGATAAAGATCGAATTTCTGGTATAACGCAGTCACGTATTGCATACCTGCCCATTTTGCTTAATCCAACGAGGGAACCATAAATAGTCATTAATATGGAAGACTTAAGCCCGTTCTTATATACGCTTAAAATTGAATTTAGAAAAGGTTAGTATTTCCTTACATTTTACATTTGTCTTTACAACATTTACAACCACATACCTAATAACTCTTGGCAGAATATCATTTCCGGGGTAGCCATAAGCCCTAATAAAGTCGGCCATAATGTTGGTAGCATATTCGCGCGCCGCGCAATGATTCTGAACCGTCGGAAAGGCGCAGATTTGCCGAGACACAGCACAGGAGAGTACAGATGGTACTAAAAGGTGGAGCTGCAATGGAAATGTTTAATGGGTTCTCCAAGAAGGATAATGAACTCACATAGTTGTGTAGCTGTAAATGTGGATTAAACAGCACATTTTGCACCATGCGCATCAAATATATCAGCAGAGCAAAGTTCTTCTGTGCCACATTCACCTTGACCGCCTCGCCAATAAACAGACTCAATCTGTAGAGCATTGGCTGCAGTGACGAATCGGTCCTTAGACTGTGCAGCGCCTCTCGGCGTGCAAACTCGGAGTTACCCATGCACGCCTCCGTGATTACCAGAAAGAACTCTTGCTGCTCCTTGGATAAGGGAAATCTTTTGTTTGACATGAGCAGTACTTGCTCGCGCTTCAGCCAGCGGTTGCGCTCTTCTAATGGTGCATTACTGTCGTACGGTTCGAACGGCGCTTCGCGTTCCCTTTTTCGTCTTTTTGCATCTTTTCGAGACGCCCGATCAAGTGATGATTTTTTAATTGGTGGCTTAGAGATGGGTTTATCTGTCTCAATCGGATCTGGGCTCGCGTAATTTACATGTAGAAGATCCAAACTAATGTTGTGTTCCTCCAGAGCAAACAGCAAGTGATCTATTGTAATTTTCGAAGAACGTGTACGGCGAGCGTATTTCGCAGCTTCGGCTACTATTTGGCTAATATCCTTGCGCACATTTTGAGCCACAGCCTGAATCAGTCTTCCAGTCAATGTCTCACCTATGGACGCCCTCGCTATACTTTGCAACGACATCCTGGAAAGTGTTGAAGTATGAATGCGCTTCCAGTCATCGTTCACCGATTTCAGCATAATTGAAATATGATTCATTTTGGAGCTTGCAAACGCACGAGATGGAGTAGAGTGAATTAATGAATGATTAAATCAAGGTATTCGTCGAGATTATATGACATGAATGTCAAAACAATTTTGACAGCTGTCAAAGAATTCGCATTATGAGTGGGGATGTAATTTAATTTGATTCTGTTGCCAATTGCAGATCGAATTTATTTAATAGAATTTATAAGTAAGTTTGAATTTAAGAAAAATGTTCAATTTATTGCGTTTATATTAAATATATATCGTGGTAATTAAATTTAGTTACGTTTACTTGAGGGTTTGCCGTTACGTTAAAAATAAAGCTAATAATAATCTATCCATAATCTGTAGAGCACGTAACCAAGCAGCACCACAACGACCAGCGCCTTCCATAGATTATGCAGTCAAGACCGTAAATCCGTTAACGGTACATACATGACACCCATCAGACGTGTCATTTGCACCTTTCCATTAGCGTCCTTGTCGTACTGCATATTTAAGTATTACGAATTATTCAGAGTATATTTTTAGATACGAATTTGAGTACACACCTGCTGCATGTATTGCGTTCCACCCTCCGGGCCAACAGGAACTATGAGGCGACCTCCGTTTGCCAATTGATTTATTAATTCGGTAGGTGTGTCTGGTGCTGCTGCGCCCACATGTATAGCATCGTAGGGCGCTAGTGAAGGATATCCTTTACGTCCATCTCCCTCAACAATAATCATTTTGCCCGACTCTAGCATACTGCCATCATCAGCGTTCAGGTTGGTTTTACTCATTGCAACCAAACTGGACTGATGCTCAATTCCAACGATTCGAGTGTTCGCATTATCGCCCTTCGCCTGCACATAGCGATAGAAGCAAGCAGTTAAATAGCCCGAGCCAGAGCCGACATCGAGCACATGAGCGCCGGGCTTGAGTTGATCCCGCAAATATTCCAAAGCAAACGCGTGCTAAGTCGAAAAGTCACATAGTGGAGAGTTTTCATCAAATGATTTTGATCTACATATATAAGAATAGTGAAATATTACCATGTGGGGGGCGCTGATAGTCACACCGCCGCCAATAGGTTGAGGTGCATCCATATACGGATGGCGGGGAGAGTAGTGTTTGCGATCCGTTGCTAACATTGCATTTGCAACAGATTCGGTTGATATTACGCCGTAATCTATTTCATATATATTTATAAATACACAAATTACATATGTATGTACAAGTGTACAGACATTAAGATCAAATTAATTGGATGGCCGCACTTGTTGGATGCTTACCCCGCAGCTGACGAATAAGATCTGCATTGTTCGCACCGACGGAGCGCCAGGCCATGCTAAAAGTACGCAATAAAAGGCCTAGCCCAATGATTTTGGCAATATATGATTTGCTGACCGTTTTGTCTGCGTTTACTTCAAGGGATTTTCGAATTTGTTGTTGTTGCTATGTTTGTTTGCAGCGAAAAACAGCTGTGTGACAGTGTTACCAGCCTATCGCATTGTTTAATTTAGTTTTTAAAAAATATACTTAGATTGTTATACCGGCGCACATCTAGATTCTAAAAATTATGATTAAAATAATTTATTTAAAATGTATAGGCTAACAGCAAGTATAGCCACAAAATTAATTTGATCGGCAACAAACGGCTTAGATATCGATATCTAATATCCGATAGTCACAGTCATCATCTTCAGACCGAATTGTAACAACTCTGACAACGGATTGTCAAACGAGCGAAAACGACCAGCAGCAGCAAATCGCGGCGCAATTTTGCTGAATATAAAACGAAGTTTGTTCTACGAGAAAATTGCAAATAACATACTTAAAAAATTGTGCATATAAAATACAAATTGGTAATTGTGTTCATCGATCGGTGTATTTTAAGTGAATTGAATAATAAAGCAGTTTGGCATTGCAGCTGCAAGCAATAGCACTGCATTTAGCAGCTGCCTCTTTTTTGTGTTATAGTATTGTTGTGTTGTGACATTCACACATACACACACACGCATCCCATTTCTCACACTAGCACAAACATCTCGTGGCTAGTTTGGTGAACGAGCGCGGCAAAAAAGATTTCGATATTGCATGTGTGTGAGTGTGCTTGTATGTGTGCGTGAGTATTAGTCATTTTGGCCTGGCCTGGTCGCTGGTCTTGGGCCTGGTCTTGGTAGTTGTTGGTTAACCCGCAACATTTGGAGCGCATCAGCAGCAATCAACAGACAAATAAAAAACAACCGAAAACCTAAAACTCGTCACGCCAAACTCAGCAAAAGGTAAGTTACCCAGGCGTTATCATTATATTTATTTTCCAAGTTAATTAGTTCTAAAGTTAGTAAAAAAAAAACGTTGAAAGCGCTGCATGATTAATTAATAAATGCGATTATTCTGATTATTGCTTGAATAAATTTCTCACTCATTTAGCACCCTTTTTACTTGACATCAAGGTCTCTGTGGCTGAATGAATGAATTTATTTCAATATTTATTTATTTGATTGTAATGTGATGTGTTTGTAATATGAGTTATATGTACATTTATTTGTATAAATGTTTGTATGTCTCTAAATGTTCATACATATCTATATTACTTGCAACAATAGCACATTGCATAATTTTCTGTATTGTCTGTTTGTTTTGTAGCTTTGTTAAAATAACTGATAAAACTTTTGAGATACGCGTGTGGCGCAATTTGCTGTTCAATAGGAGTTTCGCTTCCACTCTGCTGCTTTCTTTTACCGCCAGTATAAATTTCAGTTTCATTCTGTCACTTTTGGAAGCAGCAGCAGGTGTTGCATGTTGCCGTCCATCTGTTCATTCGGCTTCTGCGCTCATTTTCCAATTCACTGAGTTTGCTTAAGCAGCGTCAGTTGCGTTTCGCTTTGCAGCCATTCTGACTGGGAGTTTGAGTTGAGGCCCGTTTGGTAGCTCGCGCTGACATTGTTGATAAGTGCTAGAAAGGGGAACTGTTTGTGTGTAATTATTTAGCAATGCATCTTATGTTGCCTTGTTGTACTGATAGCGTATGTATGAAAAAACAAAACAGGAAATGGCAAATGTTTGGACCTATATATCATTTTCTAGAAATAATGCTGTGCACAGAGCGCGTCTACTAGAGTGCAAAGTTTTCATGTTTAAAAATTTCACATACTCGTTTTTTACATCGATATCAACCGGAGAGAGCAAAATGTGCTATGCAGATCCAGACGATAAGTTCCAATAGAGTAGACTTCCAGTGCATCGATAACAACTTTCCACTGAGAAATGATTAAGGGATATTTTTCCAGGCAGCGCGAGCATTCCTACATATTTGCACACAGCAAGCAATCTGTCAGCCATACATATTTATAGGTATGCACATGTATGTATGTATTTAATTCCATATGCGTATTTTTATTTTTTAGCGTTTTCAGTTCAACTTTGACCTAATTTGCGACAATATGCGCCTTGCAACGCATGATTGCGAGCACACTATTCGGCTCTATGATGAATGCTTATGTCTCTCTCTTTCTCTCTCTGCTTCTCTGTTTACTCTCTATGTACTTATGTACGTACATACGTACATATATGTGTGTATTTATGAGAACTGAACGTGCAATTTAAGCAGACATTGTTTGCTATTTATCTCTTTCATTCTAAACTATATAAAGGTAGTTTTCGTTTTCACAAACGAATGTCCAGAGAGAAAACCAAAAAAATACGTGGAATTAATATTGAGATAAAATACAACGAAGCTTAAATGCACTCACGCAAGCTCCAAATAATCTATGTGTAGCTTAAGTTGATAGCAGCATATTCAATATTTTTGTTGTGCAATTTAATTAGACAATTTATAAACCTATATATTTTTTTTTTTAACTTTCTGTTTTCATATAAATGAGAAATTCTTTCTACAAAGCGATACAAAATTAATAACATTTTGATAATCTATATAAGAAAGGGTATTCAAACGTAACAAAACCTGTTCCTTTCCATGCTTTATGTTTTGTGTCTTGTCTTTCGCTTTTACTGACGAACAAGTCACATCGATTATTTTATTTGCTTCGCACACCTTCGCACTAAGATCTTATATATGGTATTGTTTTGGTATGTGTTTTAGGTTCGTGTTAAACTTCCTTCAACAACAATATAGCCAACAGAGCTCAGATAGAGATTTGAAATGTATTCGGTATACAGACATTTGTGCACGTTTTTGAATTTCTGTGTGTCTTTGTGTGTGCCATACAAATATTGAAGCATTTGCGCAAACTACAAAATTTGCGTAAATTTGTTTTCAGGCGCATTTCAAGTTGTGTAAATACGAGTTAATTTGGCTATGTGTGGATGTATATGAATATAGACTCGTACCCTAAATATTGATTTAGCTGTGGGAATCAGGCACAACAATTATGATCTAAATCAGTTTTGCTTTTCTCATTAACACAATTATCAGACCTTAACCTTAAATATACAAAGCATACTCTGTCCGACCTAAGTGCTGAGAGCTCAGTTATGTAGTTAAGAAGATGTTTTTATCTCTCATCAAAGGAAAAAACGCCAGAGAATAATCAATGCATCTCCGGCTCAACTGGAAAAGCGTCTCATTATAATAATTAAGAGACCTTAACCTCAAACACAAACAAAGCATCTATTCTGTCCGACCCAACTACAGAAAGCTTGGCTACCGACACGAGTCAAAGTTCTCAGTTTCCAATTTACTTAAATGGACAAGGCAAAAGACGTGCGTTTCTTGCTCTGTCTCGAAGCGCGTTCCGTTCCACGAACCTAAATAATTTGTCAAATTCTATTTTATTATTCACTTTTATTAAATTGTTTATTTATGGCAATATACCCAATTTGCGTGCTTTGGCGCGTTCGATGGACTTTTGAATTGTATTTAATTAACGTATATTTGGACTCACTTTTTTGTGAATTAGAGTGGGCCAACACAGGCAGTAGTTAAGAACCTGTTTTATATTTTATAAAGCGAATTGATTAACGAAGTTGTAGTAGGGGATATATGAGAGAAATCAATTTTTTTTAAACTAGTTTTTTCTCTTTGCCTCTGAAACAAAATTACTTCCTGATTTATGCTGGCATTATGTCTTTAGACGGACTTTTACTAAACTAAATACTAAATTCAATTGCCTAACTTTAATTGCTTTTTATTTATATTGTGTAAATCATTTTTGTTGCTGCACAACAAATGAAAATAAGAGCTCAAGGTCGTAATCATTTCGTATACTTTTATTGCTTTCCTATTTTTTTGTGGTTGTATTTTTTCGCCTTTGCCAATTGACCAAATTGTTGTATACAAACAACAATTGCAGCCAACTGCCAAATGCTAAAAAACAAATAAGAAAAAAAAAAAAAACAAGCAATAACAAAAACAGCAATTCAAGTAGAGCATAAAAAATTGATCTCTCTTTCATTTGCTGCTAAAAGTAAATCACTTTTACAATCATTTCTTATTTTCTCAAGAGTTTAATTTGTGATAATGTTGCTGAACTCTATCGTGTAAGCATGTTGAATCGCACTCGCTTTGCTATCGCTATTTACGACTCACGCTCACCGAGCATATATGTACATATGTATGTATAAATATGTGTGTGGGTAAAATCTCATATCTAGCTAGAAATATACTTTCTTTTGTTCAAATGAATTCTACGTTTCATATTGAAAGCGCGCTGTCAAGCTCTCATGTGTAGTTCGAGTAAAAGTTGTATCGCACACACGCTGTAATACATACATGCACAGAGAAATTAATACACATGTATGTAGGTATGTATATGCGCATGTACACGCATCATTCTCTGGACAGCGTCTTCGCCCACGCACCTCAGATGAGTGAATCATTCGCTCTCGCAGTAAATCTTGAGGCGCCTATCTCAAAAGCTTAGTTCAAATGTGAATATACTTAATGTGACTCTTAAAAGCCAATTTAATGCTTGCATATACAGTCGAATCTGCTATATAAAAATATTGTAGATTTATTAAATTGCAAATGACTTAAGTTTAAGTGCAAACTATATAAATAGATACTTTATGGATATTGCCTTGGCTCTTTTTATTTCAATCTAAATATAGTCGCACAATAGACGCAAAGGTTATTTATAATGAAACATATTTTCGAGTTATGAAAAAAGTAAGTTTCGTTTAGAGGGTTAACTCGGATGACTTGCCAAATTAAACGTATGTAGACAAGGCACATTTAATTGTTATGTCTTTTGACGTCTGGCTGTCATTTCTATGCAATTTCACTTGTTTATTGTTGTTATTTGCTATCCCAAAAGTAAAAGCTATCATGCAGAACTATCCACAACAAAATAAAAATACAAACATTTCAGGCAGAGACGCTCTGTCTGAACCGGTTGTAGCCGGCAGCAATTTAATGTGCAACAATCGTGAAATAACAAGCAGAGTGTTAACCCTCCTACAATGGGTATATATGTACATGTATGTATGTATGTATATGTTTATGTGTGATAGCATTGTACATAACACGCCCATTCGTGACCTTAGAAATGCATTAAGCTTTACAGCACTTGACATAGGTACTCGGCCAAACGTATATACCTACACATACATATACATTTGTATTTATGTACATATATATATATTCATATAGATAATGCTCATTTATGTAGTGATCCGAAACTGGGACATTCTAAATTTGTTGTCCTTCGCTTGACAATCGTTAACTATAAAGCTTTTTAAGCTACTGCACAAAGCCTAGTTATTCAAGCTAACTAATTTAATTTCAATTCAAATTTAATGATCATAAAATGGCAAAAGCTTTCAATATATTGAAATTTGTCACCAAAGTCTGGTAAAGAAATAAAAGTCGCTGATTACTCCGAAGCGTGTAAGTCTTAGCCTTTCTATTAGAATGACATCATAGCTTAGTCATATATCAAAATGAAACTTAGCCAGGCATACGCCCAATTTGTGTTTATTTTATATATACAAATATAAACACTTTTTTATATTTACTACCCAATTTAGTTTAAACTAACCATGCACAATTAGAGTTCTCTTAATACAGTGAACATTATAAAAAGGTACATTTTAATTATAGACTTTAGGTTGTTTTTGGGCAACCAACTTGGGCTTTATTTTTAAAAAGAAGTTGGAATTGCAATTAAAGCATTGCTTTCAAATGATTTGCTACTTGTAGATTGTACGAGCGGTATTATAAATGAGTAATTTTCGAGTTCTAAAACTCACTCTTAATTGCGTATATTTTTTCTGCACTTTATTGGGGGCAACAAATTTAGCCATTGACGTCGACGATTTCATTTAACTGAAATGCAAACAAAGATTACGAATAGGCTGGGTGAAAGGCACGGAGGGCTAAAAGTAACATATTTAACGTAACGAAAACATTGATTGAATTAGCGAAACAGACCCGAAATCCGCATGCACCTGTAACGAATGCAGTTCACGTTGTTGGGCGAGAACAACAGCCACCCCATATACACCCATTTTTACTACCCTTCAAAGGTGATTTTAATTAGATTGGCTGTGTCAGTTCGAACTGTGCCCCGTTGTTTTCGTGCAATTTGTGGCACGTTTCTGCTAAATAGAATATTGACTATTTCTGTGAATATACCCAGTAGCTGCAGTAAATGGGTGGATTGTTGTCAATGTAGAGGCATCGAACTATAGAATATATTATTAACAGAAATGATCAATAAATAAAGGTCAATGAGGAACTGGTCAAAGCTCTGAGTATGGGATATCACTTGGTAAAAAACTAACGTGGTATCTCAAAGTCAGTCTATTTATAAGGTTTATTTGCTTTATTTAAGATATATTTATTTTCTCGTTCCTTTGTTAATTTTCATGAAATTTGCAACTCTGACAAATTTGAAAGTTTGTTGAAATTCACTGGTTCTATATTATAATAATAAAACTATTTAAATATGAATCTATATTATTTACATATCTTATATGCGATACCGTTGTATCTTCAATACATAAAAGCGAATATGACACATATTTGGGCATTTAACTTGGAGCTTTTGTTCTTTGAACATGATAAACAAGCAATAAAAACAAAAAAAGGTATCTTTGTTTATTGCGAAGCTTTCAGACGTTGCGACAGTTACAGCTGGAACAGCAACACTATATAGTATTAGTATAGGGGTAAACAGGCTAAGACCTTTCTGGCATCAACCTGTCTCATCTTTGTCCCTCTACAAATGCCTGTAAGAGAATTGCTTGAATTGATGTGGCCATATTGCCACTTGGAAAGGCATTTGGATTCCTCTGGCCTGCCTGCCTGGTCTGCCTGCTCTATTCCCTATGCATGGCATTGTTTGCATTCAGGAACAGGCCGCAACATATGTCAAGTATTCACTTGGAGGCAGGTTCACAAATGCAAAGTGGCAAAGTATGTGAATAGCAATATGTGGCACACGGGGCACATTCTGCGACAAATGTCAAGCTGCAACACAAAGGGGAACGAAGGCCCCAATACATACATAGGTATATAGCTATACGTATGTACAATCTGGAGGGAATTACGTATTGCTACAGCCGAGACAGGGCGGACACGATGATTGTTTGTCAATAATTCTTTGGGGAATTCGCTGCTGATGATGACGCAGCTGCTCCCAGCTGGAGGGCAATAATCAATGGAATGAAATAGATGCCAACTATTTACCTTTAAAAACACATATATTTGAGTCTGCCTTTCTCATGAATTAAGTACAAAAAATTTTATTTGGCTGCGTAAAATGTTCTGATAAGAAATATATATATGTATTTATGTATGTGTATGTATATAAGTACATATGAATATATTTTGATAAACGCTTTTTGTATGTGAGTGGCTCTTATCGTCGCGTGCTCAAATATGAATTATTATATTGTTATTGTTATTGTTAATTTTTAGTACATGTATTTAAATGTTTCATACTTAATATGGACAAGCCGTTCCGGCATGTGCCGGTCACCGAAATACGCTCCGAGCATTGTGAACCCGTGGAGAAATGCGAGGCATTACATTCCAAGTGGATGCCACCCACTTTTGTGTTTTTTTTTTTTTTTTTTATAATATGTTTTATATCTATATTTTGTTGTTTTTGGCTCTCTGCGCTTTTCCATTGTTTTTGCGATTCAACGGAAATTCTTTAATGGGCGTCTGCGAGGCAATCGGAATCTTCGCTTCAATTCGCAATTGAATGACGTAAATCTCACGCAAAATTTTTTGCTCTTTCTTTTTCTTTCTATGTATCTTTTTGTTTTATGCCTTTTTTAGGGCTCTCGACTGTCGATTGATGGATTTGTTTTTGTTGAAATTTCTAAATGATTGCTTTTCCTTTGTGTGCTCTTAATTTTGATAGATCGTATGGCACATGATCATTTTTATGTGAATTTAATTGTGTGTTTAGTTCAGTTTGAATCAATGCGTGAAACTAAATATAGTAATAACTGCATAAGCAAATCAAATATATATAAATATTTTTTATATATATTTCAAGTGTTAAGTGCATCTATTATATTAACTGTGAAGTATTCCCCGTAAATACAGTGAACTTTAAAAAAGTTTACAACGGATCACAGATTTGATTTGCTAGAGTATTTCCATTTGGTTAACGTAACATTTTGATGTATTAAATAAATAGTAAATTGACATTTGAAAATTTCATCAAGCAATTTCATACAAGCGATTCTCCATGGGTATATATCCAAGCATACACACACACACACATACACCTGCTTATAGTTTGTGAGCCGAGACGCAGCTGAAGCTAACGGTGTACGTGTCTCGGCAAAGACAAGAGCTAAAGCATTCGATGGTTTTCAGTTTAGATCTGAGATAGCTCAGCGGGTGTCTCAGCCATCTTGCTAAACTTGCTTATCGGCCACGATAAGCGATATATATCTACTTGGCTTTTCAGTCTTGAATCAGTTGCAAAATTATCTTTCTCATTCTCCCTCTTTATCTGTGCATTTTTAGGCAGCATGACCATACCGTCAAGACCAGCGCCCGCACCGCCAATGTCACGCGGTCAGAATGCAGCAGCCGGCGCGAATGCGAGTCTGGAGCAGCTGCGCCAGCAACTGCAGCAACAGCATCTACAGCAGCAACAGGCCTCCAATGGTGGGCTACAGAAGCTGAGCATTAAGCTGCCGCCGCCACCGAAGGGTCAAGTGCAGCCAAATAGTTTTCACAAGAAGCCGGCAGGCAGCAACAACAACTACTTTGATGTGGAGGGCAGCGGGTCGAGCATAACGCGCAAGTTTCCTCAGGCACGATATACACCGACAACCAATTGGAACGATGCCCCATTCGATGGCGCTTCCGCCTCGGTTAACAATGGCAACACTTTCAAGAAAATGCCACCGCCACGACCGCCACCGCCCAAAGTTCAGATAAATGGCCGTAAACTGGCTAGCTTGAGCTCAGGGAGCATTGGGGGTGGTGGAGGTGGCGGTGGCAGCAGCCATAGTCATAGCCATAGCATCATAAGCAACATTTTCCATCGCAAGAAGTCGTCGGCCACGGCAACGGCTGCTGCTTCCAAGGCCGCAGCGCAAACTCGCGTCTACGGCCTGAGCAGCGGTCATGCCGTGTCCTCTACGACGACCGCATCGGCTGGGGCTAGTGCATCCAGCCAGTTCACGAATAACTCAAACACGTACGATTGGAATGCAGCCTGGAATACGGCGAGCACAACAACCAGCAGCAACACGATGAAGAGCTCGAGTAGCAGCCATCGGGAGACGGCTGAGGCGCAGCTAATCAGCTTCGATTCGCCGCCTTCATCGCCCACTTTTACGCAGAAGTCAAACAGCGACTGCGTCAGCGTCGACAGCTTCAGTTCGGACAGCAATTTCAGTTCACCAAACAATGGTAGTGTCTCGCAGCCGGAGAGCGGTTTCGAGGATGACTATCACTTGCGGTCGCGACCCGCGACACAAAGTCCCCTGGTGGATCCCTGGGAGGCGGTGGACAGCAGCATCTATAGCGGTGGCGTCGATAGTTTTGGTGCAGCGCCAGTGCGTCAAATGCATCCACAGCTTTCGGCACGCACCTCAGACAATCCACTGTGCAACGGCAAGAGTCTGCTTCCGCCCACACAGTCGCTGACCATGCCCACCATCATTAAGCCGAAGATATCGCAGAAGCCTAAGGCACCCAAGCCGCCGCCATTCATTGTCCAGCCGCCAGCTCATGCCTATGGTGGCTACAGCACACCGCCGTCGCCACCCATGCCAAAGTGCGCCCCACCGACTCTGCCGGCGGCCGCTGCCTCTTCTGCGTCTGCCAACATTTCGCTGCTGGATGTCATATCGGGCAAAGTGGACGCCCTGGCCCTGACCAATGGTAGTACTGGCTACGTGGACGACATCCAGGTGCCATATGCGATTGCGCTCTATGATTTTGATGGCGTCGAGGAGGGCGATCTTAGTTTCAGAGTAACTATTTGCGTGTACTTGAGTTTTATTTCAGTCCTTATATCTGTGTTTGCTTGCAGGAAAATGAGAAGATCTATCTGCTGGAGCAGCCCACTGCGGAATGGTTTCGCGGTCGCTCACGTACGGGCTGTGAGGGCCTATTTCCTGTAAATTATGTCGAAGTTAAGGTGCCATTGGGCGGCAGTGCAGCAGCAGGTGCAACTCATACACAGTCCCAGTCCCAGGAACGGCAACAGCAACAGCGACAGCAGCAGTTGTCCACTGCGCGTTGTCTGTACAATTTTCCCGGGGAAGTTGAGGGAGATCTTCCCTTAAGGGTAAGTTAAGGCAAACTGAATTGTGGCTTAAAATCAAATCGAGCTCAGCTTTAAACGGAACTAATGTTCACTTTTTATATCTTACAGGAAAATGAAATAGTAAACATTCTTTATCGTATTAACGAGGATTGGCTGTATGGGGAGGTGAATGGACGGCAGGGCCAATTCCCGGCCAATTTCCTAGAATATGTCCCCGATAATCTACCTACGCTGTGAACACATATTTGAAATATATCAGTAAGAGACAGGAAATAGCAACTATATTTAAATTATACAAAGAATATATATCTATAAGGAGAAAGCCGCAAATATCGTTGGAACTGAAACATATTGTATTTCCTTTTGATAAACTACAACAAATAAGCGCCCAGAAACACAAAACACGGAGACGCATCTTCACAAAGCTAACTAATTAATTATAAATATATATGATATATGTGCGTTAAGTCTCGACCTTAGGAATTATTTTACAAAATAGTTGTACGGCGTGAAATCAAAGTCAAACCCAATCAAGATCCATAAATTGTTTTTCCCTTTTGATTATTTATGTAATTAACATGTTGATAACTAATTCAAAGTATTCGAGAAAGTTTGGTGCATTGTAAATGATATCGCGTGATGATCTATTGATCCATTTTATTAATGTTAAAAAGTAACAAATGATATTTCAACTATATATACAAACATATTGTTTTCGTCGTCTAATTTAGTTAGTTATTTAGTTAGGCACATTTATCATTTCCAATTGATGCAAATCTTAAATTTTATACATATATACATACATAATAATAAAGTGCGCATGTGTGCTATTAAAAGAACTACGATATAAGCTATAGGGAAGTCAGGCAACTAAGCATATATGTATATGTCAAGATACGATGAACTGAAATAAATGCAAATTATGAAAAACACAACCAACCACGTGTATATGGTAGCGAAGTGCTGCTGACTGTGTTGCACAGTCGCAGGCAGAGGCTGGGGTGCTCTACTCCATTGCCTAAGACCGACCATACGTGGCTCCAGTGCCACATCCTGCCCGAGGTGCTACTGCTTTCGACTAAATATGGCGGATCTAGAGAGGACAACTCGATAAAACCCGCAAAGCCCTGGTGTTAGTCGTAACCGTGCCAATGGGCTGTATGGCAGCTGCGTGAATGCTGTCTTAGAACGGTGACCTCCGGATATCTGGCGACCTCCGGTTGTAATTAAATGCCTTGTCGTGATACTGGGGGCTATGTCACGGTCGACCTGCCCGACCCCCACACTCGTGGGAATCAAAATGAACTCAAGAAAACAACAACAAATTAACCAACCAACATACAATCGAACAAACCAAATAAACAACACGCACGGAATTCGCTTAAGCGGCGCAGCCCGCAAGCGATTCTATTATCTGGTCAAGAAGGGCATGGACCCGGAGGAGGCCAAGGAGCGGGCGACGCAGCCGATAAGCCAGGCCATGTGGCAGACACAGCAGACCCGAGTACAAAGGCACAATTTCAAGGGAATTAACCCACCGCATGAAATGTTAGCCATGGAACCTTCTCAATTCAACAACAGCTTCTCAGGCTACGGGCAGTGCGGAATTGACTGGACAGAACCTGTACATAATTATCAGTCGGCGATCGAAACCGTACAGGACAGCGGAACAAGTCCGCAGCCTGCCTACCATCAAGCTGACAACAGCTTCTTCGACGACGGACAATGCAGCACTGGCTGGCCGGAGCCTGCACAAAATTATCAGTCCACGGTCCAAACGCAACAAGTCGGCGAAATAAGTCCGAGGCAACGACTGTTATGTGGAGAGCTTGACTACCATCATGCTGACAATAGCTTCTCAGACTACGGCCAATTTGACAGTGGCTGGGCTGAGCCGTCGCGAAGTCATCTTAATCAACTAACTGTGCCATTTGTAAACCAATCTCGTCGAGCATCTGTGAGGGCTAGACTCGGTGCACCTGTAAATCGCGTGCGACGCGACATGCCACCTGCCTATGGCGGCAGCGGGCAAACGGAGAAAGAGGAAGACGTCGACATACCAAATCTAAACGTGGCCATACTGCCCGGTGACTATCCCAGCGAATTGTGGACAACTGAACAGCTGGAGGCCGTGAAGAAAAGTATTTGTGATCTCGTGCAACGCCAGGGCGAGGGATGTGTGAAGCCCAGTTTTGCGGGTTGCATTTTCCGGAACGGCTGGCTCTCTGTGCACGGCAACGATGCAGCCAGTGTAAACTGGTTGATGGCCATGGACACCAGGCTACGACCCTGGGCGGGCGCCTCCTTGAAAGTGCTGCCGGAATCTGAGGTGCCATGCAATCGTGTATTCGTCGGCCTCTTTCCGGCATTGTATAGCACGCCAGTCAAGTACACGTTACGCCTAATCGATGCCCATAACGAGGGTCTGGCCGTGCACGAGTGGCGCGTGCTTCATCGTCTACAAAGCGGACCCACCATGAAACTGGCCGTGTCCATCGATGCCCACTCAGCCGAGGTGCTGAAACAAATGGACTATCAATTGAACTATGGCTTCAGTCGGGTCCACTTTCGGCCAAGAAAGAAGGCGACCAAATAAACTCTTCATAATATCTAACACACTTAATCATTGCATTTTTTGCATTTTACCATGGGACTTAACTTGCTTGCCCAGCTCATTTCTAACCAAAACCTAAACTATTCATTCGAAGCACATTGCCATTCATGCATGATTTTATTCAGTCTTTCCACGGAAGCGCTGACTGATTGAATCCGGATTCAATACGCTTACGAGTTTAAGCTCTTGACAAAGTAGTTGAAACCCTCGTAAAACTCGTGAACAAATCAGTTTACCCAGAATTGAATTTGAGTGTGCAACAACTCGGGGCTCGTATAGTTAGGTAGGCTGTGTTCTCCATCCGTAGCAGTCTGGGATTTGTTAAACCCGCTTTAACATTACTAACTGTAATACCTTCGTCGTTGAATGTCAAAGCAAAATTTTTATTTCGTTTTTCGGATGTGTTATTAATACAGTGATTCTGTGCTCGGAGCAAACAAAATTATTTCCTTTAACAATTGTCAATTCTCGTATATACATACATATATATAAATATATATATTCTCTTTGTATATATATATTTATATATATTATATAGATTTTGTATATTTGTAAGTAGCGTGAATTGTGCGCGTTGTTGATATATACCTATTTGATATTTACAATCAGGTAAGTACCCTTCCGCATATCCCCACAGGTAAGCTATTAAGTTAAACCTACCTACGATCGCGACTTTAGAGTAGTCTAGGGAGGGACGGTGCAACATGGGTGATGCGTGCCAGCCACCCGTTGACTATCCATCATGCCCGCCCGGAGCCTCGTGTCCGCCATGTGATTGCGGCGATTACTCCGGCTGCTGCTACCAGCAGCCACCGCGTACCCTTCCCATTATCCCGCAGTCGCATTTTATGCGCTCCAGTGCTAAAATGGACACAGATACCATCTATCGCCGCTCGTACTATGGCAACTGTGGGAATACACGCGTTGCTCCAGTGCGTCCATGCAACCATATAAGCGCCAATACGGCGCCAATGGAGAAGTGCACCGTGCAGAAGCTATCGTATCAGCCGCCGTGCCCGGCAGGGCGCACCATGCCCATTCTTCCGATGGCAAGCGGCTTGCGCTTTGAAGGGCCCATCTATGCTATGACCTCGCAGAAGCACGACTACGTGCCCAAGTGCGCTGCGAAGCAAGAGCCGTGCCTGCCACGCGGGGCCATCTGCACCTCGACGGCCCCCATGGAGCGCTGTACCATACAAAAGCTGAGCTACATGCCGGTGGATGTCTGCCAGAATCCGCCGCCCAAGGCAATGCCGCAGACTTCGCACTACACAAAGCCCGCTGGGCCCATGGAGCGCTGCACCATACAGAAGCTGTCGTATATGCCGGTCTGTCTGCCGCCTAAGGAGCCAACGCCCTGGGCGGATAAGGTGCGCTGTGTGCCGCCCAACTATCAGAACATCTGCACCACTTACAATCTGAGCTATATGCCCAACTGCAATGCTCCACGTACTGCTCCCATGATGCCCATGAATACTCTGCGCTTCCTTGGCAACGATGCCGGCGCTGCCAGCACCGTCTACAAGCTCAGCTACAGGCCAGTGGATGCGTCTCGCAGCAAGCCGATGCCCATTTTACCGAGGGACACCTTCCGTCGCGCCACTGGCCCGCTGGAACGATGCACCGTACAAAAGGTAGGGCATGCACAATATCTGAATTTTGCTACTATTATACATATACCATATACCATACCTTCCCCTACAGCTCTCGTATCAACCCAACTGTACCGAGCGCACACCGGCCATTCGTCCCATGGAAAATGGTCTGCGCTTTGACGGACCTCTGTACGCGATGACAACCCAGAAGCATGACTTTGTGCCCAAGCCGCATGTACGTCGTGCACCCATAGTGCCACTGACGGCCTTCTGTCGCCCTAGCGGTGCCATGGAGCGTTGCACAGTCAACAAGCTATCGTATATGCCAGTGGACGTCACCTGTTATCCCCGGCCCCAGGCTGTTAAGCCGCGCCAGGGCTTCTGTCGCAATGATGGTCCCGTGGAGAATTGCACCACATACAAGCTAAGCTACTTGCCCAACTGTGTGCAGCCCAAGGAGCCGATGCCCTGGGCCCGATATACATCCTATTGCCGGCCCAGTGGCCCCATCGAGAAGTGCACAATACAGAAGCTTAGCTATGGTCCACCCGGTGCCTTTCAGCGTTGTGGTGGTAAGTGGGATTACAATGGCATTGATAGATATACGTAGATCACTATCTAAATATCTTTTAACGTTCTCCAGGTCCTTGTGGTACCAGCTGCGCTGACACTGGCTGCTATCCGAAGGCCGGCATTTGTTGAATCGGAAATACGTTTTGCTTGCTCGTGTCGATCTGTCCCGTCGCCCGTCCCCCATCCCCCGTCCCGATTGTTTCCTGTTACATGTTGTTTCAAAATCTTCAAGTCCAACTGTTTGAGAAGCGTTTATTAGCTCGCGATGACCAACTGAGGACGCTCTTTTTTTAAAGCAATTTTAGCACGTATATACATTAACGAACCACTGTGGCAAGTTGCCAAACAGTCACCACACTCACCCACCGCGTTTCTTGCTGCAGCATACAAATCTTCAGGCTAAAATTGCAAGTGCTCCTCGGTGATTCAATAAACTGTACATTTATTGATTCGGTCTTGATAAAAAAATTTAAGTCCTATATTAAAATGTGTTCACACCATTTGAATCTGCAGGCGCCGCTTGGAGGCGGCTCGACGTTTCTTTTCTTGCTTCCGCCGCGCCAGCGTCGCGTCCCGGAATAGCTGCACGCCTTCACGCTGCTCTACCTCCGTCTGCAGCAGGGATAGGGCGTGCAGATTGTAGCCCATAATGTCGCGGAGTTGCTGGACATCGCGCTTTAGCAGCTCGAGCAGCTTGAGAAGCAGCGGCTTCATCGATTTGGCTGTCGCGATGGGTTTCATGTGAACCTTGAAGAGGAATACGGTTACGCGACAGAGTAGCTCCACTTCGTCGGGTCGCTGGGTGATCAGGGCTGGCAAGCGCTCCAGCAGCTCGCACACAATGGAGAAGGGCAGCAACAGAAGCGCTTCCTCCATGTCCGAGGTGCGTATGCGCACTAAGGTCGTAACAAGGAAATCTATTGGATTTTTCACTTGCAGTGCGATCATCAGTGGATGTAGCTCGGGTTTCTCGTCGCCCTCTAGCTCGTATTGTTTTGATATTTCCAAGCATTCCATGATTGATTCGGCTGCCTGCTCGGAACCAACTGTTTTCCGAGAGGGCAGCTTTAGGCCAGGCAGCAATGGAACGCTATTATCCTCGCCGGTGGCCAGTTTCTCGTTTTCCATCTGCTCACGTTCCTCCTCCTGTACATCCTTCAGCACAATTGTCTCCTCTGTGCGCTCATACATTCGCAGAGTCCGATCTGAGCCACAGGTTACCAAATAGCGACCATTGGGTGACACGGACAAACAGTGCGCCTCGCCAATGTGGCCAGGCAGAGTCTGTATCTTCTCAAAGGAATCGCCATCCCACTGCTTGACTTTGCCATCCTTGCCGCAGCTGAAGAACATGTGCGTCTTGGGTATAAATTGTAGCGACATCACAGAATCATCATGTGCAAAGATCGAGCGATGGCAATCGCCGAAATTGAGCCCCCAGATCTTTATGTTGCGGTCAGCGGAACCGGTGGCTATTATCTGGGAGTCGTACGAGATGTCCATGCAGAGCACCGGCAATTTGTGCCCGTACAGCGACAAATAGAACTTGAATGTGTCTAAAAAGAAGATCTTCACTGTGGCGTCTAGCAGGCCAACAGCCAGGTACTTCATGTCCGGACTAACAACCACACAGAGCACCGTCTCCTCCAGCTTGAGCGTGTTTTTGTGCAGCAGCGAAAGCACCTTGGTTTGTGTGTGACTCTCACCTTCGGAATCGATTAGCTCAAAAGTCCAGATCTTTACTGTCGTATCACTGCTGCCCGTGACACAGCCCTTCTGATCCGGCAGTAGAGCTATGCTCCAGAGTTCGCTCTCATGGGCGGGTATCTCTTCGACGATGTCCGCTGCACCCACGTCTGCAATCAGCAGTTTTCCGCTCTTCATGCCCAGCAGCACATAGCGATCGCCGGGCACAAAGCGAGAGCAGAGTATGTAATCTGTAGGCATAGTCCGTAGGCATTGCATAGCGTCGCGATCCCAAAATTTAAAAGAGTCCCCGGCGCCAGAGCCAATAGCAAGCGAATCGTTGCTGAAGCACACGGAACGCACCTCCGACTGATGACCGAGCCGTGTTAGGGAACGCAAAAGCTTGACGCTGCTGTCCGTGGACTCACTTGACTTAGCCTTTGGCTTACGCGACTTGAGCGAAGCCTCCAGGGAGTACAGGCTCATGCTGTTATTGGACAGGCTGACCAACACGCGGAGCTCTTGGTTCTGACCAAGTAGCACATCAATAGATTTGATTTTCTGTCTCGTTTTGATGCTTTCCAAGCGCTTAATTTCATCGCTGAGTGATAGCTCTTTGGAAAGATGCTCCTCATTCTCTTCTTGCTCGCCACCCTCCTGCATCTTTTTGCGCGCCTTTTTCAGTCGCTTGGCCAGTCGTTGCTTGGCTTCCTCTGCATTGCATATGTAAAAGTTTTCAATAAGATCATTCGTGCCGTGACAGCTTAGCACACGCTCGTTGGGATCGACCACCAAATTTACGGTGCGTCCTTTGCCCGCACGCTGTATTGTGCCACAGTTACTAACGGACAACGGACTTATTGTATCCTCGTCATCTATGGCCAGGCCCTCGACAGCTTTCTCCAGTGATTGCGCTGCATTGCCTTCCCGCTTGCGCAGTCGATAGACATTCATACCGCTCTCACCAGCACCAGCAACCATTAAATCGTTTATCAAGGCCAAACCCCATATTTCGGTGCGATTGTCGACAATAGTTTTGAAGCAGAACTGTGTTTCCAAGTTCCAAAACTTGATTTGTGTATCCTTTGAACAGCTAACCACAATGTCCTGCTCGACTAATCGTTGCAAGAAGTGTGCATCTGTGACGGCTGCATTGTGGCCGCTCAGACGTTGACGTCCCGCCTGCTCCACCACATCTACAACGACGAGCTCTGTGTCCAGACCGCCGCTGACTAGCCGCATACCATGCGCGTCGTAGCGCAGCACGCTGACGGCGTTTTTGTGTAGCGCCAAAGAGCAAATTGCATCGTAATAAGTGCGTGAGCTTAGATCAAAGATCTGAACCACGCCATCCGCATAGCCCACGGCAATGTGTAGATGATCAGGTGAGACGCGCAAGGCGGTGACTTCTTGCTTTTCACGGCGTAGCGTCAGCTTACGATCGCCCATCCTAAATTATATTTGAGTTTTTAAATGAATATTTCATATTAGTAAATTATACTTACCGCAAATCCCAAATGATAACATTCTCAGCCGCCGGAGCTGCAGCAAAGCGGCCCTCGCTCTTCTCAAGTACGGCGAAATTTACATTGGCGCGACCAGACGCGATTATGTTAAAACTGTCTATGGCGCGATACGCCAAATATTGTTTAGTTAGACCCATTTTATCATTAAATTGAATTAAATGAGTTAAGAAAACAACAGGTCCACAGCGCGCGTACTACTGCACGTGTTTGTAATGTTATTGTCGACTCTTCCTAAATTTGACCAAAAAATACTAACGATAGCCGATAGGTATCGTATAAGACGCATTTTACAGCACTGAATTATCGAATCGATACATGGCCGTTATGCACATGCGCCTGTTTCTATATTTCTAATACACCCTGCTCTGCCATTTCATTTTTAATACCTTTATAATAATATTTCAAGCATCACACCTATTCATTATACCTCTAACTATGGCCACACAAGGAGCTGGTAATAAGGCCAAACAAACCCCAAGTATATACAAGAAAACTTTAGACGCTGTATTTGTTTATAGGTACTTCGGATTTGGACACAGAATCCGTGGAAGTTTTACGCGAACGCCTAAGCACCATGAAGCGCTTAATGGCCGAACGTACAGCTCAGCAACAGAACAATCCAGCATCAACCGAAGAAATATTTTCAACCAAACGCCATCGCTCCGCTGGAATTATCGATGGCAATTTCCTGAGCATCGCCTTTGGCGGCGCCCTCCTTGTGATTGTCACGGTTTCGGTTTATGCATTCTACAATCTATATCATGCCATACTCAAGAAGTTTCCCTCTCATCATGAGGAGTTGTAAGCAAGGCTGCATATTCAATTTTTATATATAGTAGTATGAAATTTTGTGCATTTAAATAAATACGTTGCTGCGGTTTTCAATTAAGACAGTAAATGAATTTTTTGGTTTGCTGTTTTGCATTCGATTAAATTAACTATTTATTGAATTTGTTGCCTTCTTAATTACAATAATCAATATTTCTCATATGTTCTTCATTTAGATAATAGATAATTGGATATTCAAGAGCCACAAACCGAAATACAAAATAACAGAATGCATTCACAGCAAAAAGAAAACAAAGGACTTTTTAGGTATCGCCGATAGACCCTATAATAGCTCTAATAAAAAACAATAATCGTAAACAATAAGACGAAGGAACTGAAATGAACAAGTTTTTAAGCGGAAAAGTGGAAAACTATCTGGTTTTTAGTTTACCTTACTCTCTAGCTATGCAATTTTAACGTTTTTCTACATATTTTCTTTGTTGTGTTGCTTACAATCTGTAGTTAAACATCTATATATATATTTTTGTATATATAAATGTAGCTGCTTTTTGTTTGTTTTACTTTTATTTGTTTTAAATAAGTGACTAATATCGTTTGTTTTCGATTGTTTTTTGTTTGTTTTTTAATTGAAATAATAATAAGTTGTTTGTGTTTCGCATTGTTGCATTATTTGTTTTTGTTTTTCATTTGTTTTATAAAAGTTCTACTATTTGTTTAACATCATTTCGAAATTGAACATTGCGTATGAAAACGTTAGATTTGAGTTTGGCATCCAAATTTGAAAAAAGAACTTTGAAATTTATAAAAAGGAACGCTTCATTTGTAAGGGTTTATTATTGTTTTAATGGATTCGTTTGTCTCCTCCATATATCGATTGCCAGTTGTAACTGATCTGCTTGTTGCTTGCATGTGGGGGATGTGTGTGTGTGTCTGTGTTTGTGAATGCATGTGTGTGTGGTTGCTGTGGGTGGACGCTGGTGTCAGGGGAGACTGTCGGCTTTTTACAAATTTGTTTATTTTCCCTATTCTTGAACAGACTCTACAGCTTCGTCTTCAGCTGCTGCTGCTTGATTCTTTTTGGATCAGATGTTGTCTACGGAATCAGCATCGTCCTCCGAACTAATCTCATCACCGAATTCAATATCCTCATCGAAGCCATCCTCGACGAATGTGACTGTCTCATTGATGCGGACCGATTCCGGAAACTCGCCGTAAGTCTTCAGATTTCGAGCTTCATCTGGTGTGTACTTCAAAATGACATCAGCCTTTGAGTCCTGATAGTCACGCAAGCCGACCAATATTATATCGCCCTGATTGATCCAAACCTGTAATATGTACAAAATGTAGACATGTGTAAGTAATTTATATAATTACATGTTTCGTAATTTCATTTATTGCTCCAATAACTTCAGAAAGCCTTTGCTGACTCGGCGAATAAGTAAAGCAAACCAAATCAATTTTGCGACTTGTAATAGATAACAGATCTGTAAATAAACTTGAACTGGAGTTCTTCTGGCTATTTCGCAATGGAGCGAAATATTTCAGAGAAAAATATGAGAAAGACTCGTTTTTTACTAGTATTAACTGAATGTTTTCATTAATGTTGTCTTTCTATAAAAATAATCTTGGTATATTTGGGAATTGGTTTATTGGTTTATTTGCATTTCAAGGTAATTCCATAGATGTATCTTTATATGCTAAATTCTGCTTTTTGAACTTATTACAATTCTGCTCCAGCTTTATCTTAGCTTTATGAACGTCTTTTAATGTAAATAATAAACACTTTGAAGAAAACAGAAACCGCCTCTTTTTATTAGTATGACAGTTCTAAGAAGTCATTGACGTCAACGGAAGAGTGTAATCTTCTGAAATATTTGAGTATTTTAGTGATAAGTAGAATATATACATGATGTTAAGCAGTTACCCATTTTGCTTGAGGGCAATTAGTCAACCTAATTTGATAACTGACCTGCAGGTATTTACACCTGAAACGTGATTGCCATTCATAAATTCACTTCCCCAGGTACTTCCTGTCATAGTATTTTTACTACTCACAAAAATTAGCGAGCAATGCTCCTAAATGCAATAAATACCAAATTAATGCATAAATATGACACATATGTACATGAATCGAGTCATTGATAAGAGATATTGATGGAATGAAATATGATTTGATAGCGAATTCGGCTTAAATGTCCATTAAGAGAAACCAATGCTTCGCCAATTACGTTATCGTTTAAAATAAACATAGGGCCGATTGAACTTTGGAGCCTTAATCATAAGCAAGGCGGAACGTGTGAGCGCAGCCGTGTGGCATTAGCTTCAACTCAAATCTAATATGAATGTTTCCACATAATTTCTTACAGCCATACATCATGCGATAAAAGACACAGTGCACCTCCAGCAGGTAGTTAGATAAAAGAAGCGTGACTAAAGCACTATAAAATTGGCATATTACCCAAGGGCGCGAGCTTGTTAAGTGAGCCAAAGATAAGCGACCGATCGAAATACCAGAGGCATGCGTTTGGGAATCACCCGACGACATCGACATGGACGACGACATCCACAACGACGACGACACCGACTAGCAACGATCCATGAGCTAATTACTGATTACGTTGCCTATCGTACTGGTCATGTGCAGGCAGGAGGCAGCTATACCCACATCAGATGGGCCCACATCGTCATCATATAGGCATTTGAGGCAGCAGGTGCCATTCTTGCGATATGAACAATGCACTATAAATACTATCTGAGTGCTACGTATCTATATGACCGTAGTCTATTTCTTCGTAAGATTATTGAACTTGAGAGTTCCTGAGATTCATCACTGAAAAAAGTGGGTGAGCAAGAAGTGAATATTTGTGTTACTAGCAAATATAATCAAAGTATATTGAATACGAAAAATTATTACGCATTAGTTCTTTTCGAACCTTAAAAGGCGCTTTTATCAGAATGAATCATATTGCGGCATACGAAAAAAGGTTTATCAAATTGAATCACATATTGGGTTTCTCTTCAGAGATAAATTCTGTACTGCCAATCTTCGCGGCAGAGACTGTGGGGTCTTTAATATGCTACTAAATTTAGAGTTTTGACTTAAATACCCCTGTGCATGATAATTACATATACTAAATAGTCTAAGGGCAAATCATGAACCACAAGCAAATTTCTTATCATTTCTGATAACGACGCCTTAGACAATTCTCTAATCAAACACTCTCTTTTGCGGAACAGCCAATGATATTAGTCTCTCTGGTGTTACTCTCTCACTCTCTCTCTCTCTTTCGCTGTTAGATAAGCGATTGGCTATAAGTAAGGCGAAATTATATGAAGCAAAAGTAAACTAAAATCAACCATCGATCAGTGAACAAGCAGAAGCAAACGGCAGAACACGGCCGCTGAAAAGTGAATTCCATGCAATACTTAAAGGAAATACATGTGAAGTGTTATCGGCACGCCAAAACAAGGGCGAAGAGCTAAAATTGAATATACATATTAATCAACTGCAAAAAACCAAATACAGAAAAACATACCAACAGCAGGAATAATTGACCACATCTGACTCACCACACACGCTAAAGAAATTCTCCAGTTCGCGTTTAAAATCGCGTCAAAATTTCGTTTAGTACAAGCTTAAATCCGTGCGGGGCGTGCAACCAGAGCGAGGACATCATCATGCTGTTATCCTACCGATACATCTACACATTTCTAATGACTACCATAGCCAGCATAATGGTTGTGCTCAGTTCAGCCCCGCACATGCAGCTGCCGGCACGGAAATGCAGCGGACCCGGACACACAATGGCATTGAATCTGGCAACTTACGGCCTGTTGGAGAATCGTATCACAACACTGGATGCGCCGATGCAGACGCACTGGACCAAAAAGTTTTTGGCTAAGCGCGAAGCGACTCCGCATTCGGCGCCCTACGTGGTCAGCATTCAGATGATGACACCAGACCAGGGCCTGGTCCACTATTGCGCCGGCACCATCATCAATGAACATTGGATACTGACTGCAGCCCATTGCCTCAGCTCGCCACAGGCCGTGGCCAGTTCGGTGATTGTGGCCGGCAGTCACGACATTCACAATCGCCGCGGCGAGGCGGGCGAAGTCCAGCAGCGCAACATCGACTACTATGTGCGACATGAGCTCTATCTGGGCGGCGTGAATCCCTACGACATTGCGCTTATCTATACCAAGAAGCCGTTCGTCTTCGATGAGTACGTCCAAGCTGCAACGCTGCCAGAGCAGGACGCCAGGCCGGAAGGCTACGGCACACTGTACGGCTGGGGCAACGTTTCAATGACCTCCGTGCCCGACTATCCGCACAAGCTGCAGGTGGCCAACATGCCCATATTGGATATGCAGCTATGTGAGGACATACTTGCACGTTCCGGCCTGCAGCTGCACGAGACAAATCTTTGCACCGGCCCACTGAGCGGTGGCGTTAGCATCTGCACCGCCGACTCTGGCGGTCCACTCATGCAGGAATGCTGTGAGCCGCATTTGGAACAGAGCAACGTTATCATTGGCATCGTCTCCTGGGGTCGACTGCCTTGTGGCCAGAAGAACGCGCCCTCCGTCTTTGTACGCGTCTCTGCGTTCACAGATTGGATCAATCAGATTATCAACTCAGCCACTCTATTAATGTAAATATGTTACTCAACACTTGGATCGCAGCTCGAATGTTAAAAAAATGTATAAAAAGTACCTCAAATAGTTAAAAAAAAAACCTAGCAGTTAATCTCAGTAGTCAAATAAGTTTTAAAAAAATCATTATATACTGCCCGTAATCTAAGCCATATAAAGTTAAGTCGCAAAAAATGTTCCTAATAAAAAGCAAAAAAAGTATTATTATCAAATTAAGCAAACATTTTTTATTTGAAAGAAAAAGAGAGAAAAATTTTTTTGATTGTGAAATTAATTGTAATTTTATGTTTCCAGGTGCCTGGTAGATAAGTTTATACAATCAGCGCTATAGGGCACTTTGACTAGAATGCGGGGCCTGGCGCCTCAAAGCTTTGCATTACTCACGCGAAATTCAGTAGATTAGTAATGGAAAACTGCTGGCCCCGCGTCTGGTAATCAGTTAAGTGTGACGAACTTACATATCGTTGACATGCTTTATGCAGATAAATCTCAAGATTAATATCACCCCAAGTGATCAGCTGCTGACTATACGTGTGATAGCCTGATTTCGTATTAATGTTAAACTGTTACCCTGTGCATACTGAAGAGTGCGGTTAGGTGGATCTTGCTTGAAATCGTTTGATTTATTTGTATCTTTTAATATGAGTAATAAAAACCATTAAAAGGATTGATGGTTAAATATTAAAAAGGCGTAAAATGATTTTTAAAAATCATAATCTATGGAACTGACCGATAAGGAATAATAAAGCTCTATAGCATAACTAAAGCATTTAATATTTTTTAAATTTTGGATCTTGGACTTTATACATGGACATGACTTCGTTGACTGATATTTTAATCGTTTGTTGACTAGCAAATTTTCAATTCAAATTATCTTGATTTATTGGGCGATATGTAATTTCATCATATTGTTTGTGAGCTTACCTAATGCTAACACGAATATGGTCTGTAATTTTCATTTTGATATTACAATCAAGTGAAGCCTAAAGCCAAAGTATAGACATCAAGTGTGAAGAGAACCAGTGACAATTCCTAAACTTATATAGTTTCCCTTATTTAGTAGCACGCACTATCAAAATTCCTTTAGACATGGCAGCAATCTCAGCTAAGAACTAGCGATTAGATTGCCTCACACAGTTTAGCAAATAATTAGTTGCTACGTAATTTATAGATCATTATTATGTGAGTTTCCCAGTCGAATGGCGCCTGGCGCAATTATTTAAATTGACTTAACTGGTAAGTCATTATGAGACAACAAATGATAAGGCATAACCAATTTATAATCCTTTACATAATATAATATATGATTTATTGCGGCGTCCACCTAATACAATTCCTGCTTTATGTCTTGATTATCTTATCTTCGATGGATTCCATTCGATTATAATGAAAATATTCGATATGGATTTCCGTATCCACTTTGTATATAACCACTCCTATACATAATAGAATATTGTAAAATTTATTCAGTTTCTGTCCTTTCAAATTAAATGCGTTTTACTTTAACATGTGCTGGGCAAAGTTCATTGCGTATCTGCATAATATACAAGAATCTATATATATTGTTATCTTTTAATTATCTACGACATGGTATGTTGTGGTCTTCAAGGGTTTAGCAATAGTTTCTTGTGTAAATTAATTAAATTGAGTCCACAAGAATCATTTTCTATGTATGACGTAGCTAGTTATCTATATAACTACATAGGAGCAATTAATTGTTTATGGGTCCTCTTTATTTGCCGTACGGGTAAGTACCCAAAACTCTCGTGGAAATCAATACCAATGAAATTCATTTAAAATGCTGATTAATCTAAAGTAATATGCGTAACAGAATTATTTCCAATTTATATAGATTAAAATACAGTTGGATATATATTAATATAAAATACATTTTTATAGAAAATCTTCCATGCATTATCTCTAAAAATCCATATTGCTAAACGAGGAATTTTATTAAATAATTGTCGATCTAACCAATCTTATTTGAAAACAAAAAACCAACTGTATAAATAATATGAAAGCAATCATTTTCATTAAACATGTATAGCAGTTTTTCTTGATATCATTATTTAACATTACCTTCTCTTCAAAAGATTATTTAAATAAATCAACAGAAGACATTTTATGCAAATGCAACGACGATAGATTTTTATAATGGACATATGTATGTTCTTACATACATTCATACAGGCGTTTATACATACATATATTTGTAAGTTCAATGAGTTTTGCTTTGTTCGCATTTTCTGAAGGCCGTTTGTCAGATTGGCAAAGCGCAACAAAATATTTATAGATTTACCAAACAATTGAGCAGCTGAGATTCAGAAATTAATAACCCATAAAATGGGATATTGTTTACAAGTGCGATAAACTTAAAATGTCATTATAGTTATGCTGGCATGCGTCACACATACATATTCATATTCATGCATACAAAATATATACATTCACATATGAATACATTGCAAACAGTGCACGCAGCAAACGTTCATGCATCAAAAGCAGCACGCATACATTCAAACACCCACACACACACACTTACCTTCTTACGAAGTTTCCCCCGAATATGACACAGACGTTTGACGCCATCAAAGCACATTGCCTCCAGGCGACCATTGCCCAGCATTTTGGTCACCTGTGCGTATTCCTGTTGATCCTCTTTAAAGATCAGCTCACGTTTTTCGAACTCGTTTTCGTTCTTTCCACGACGACGATTTTTGCCACCTTTTCCTTTATTCTTGGGCATTTTGCAGCGTTGCTGGTTTAACTAGTGTCTCTTGACTGGGGTGTTGCGCTACGCTCTCGACGTGCTTGATGATATTTAATTGATTTATCACAAACTGCACTACAAATTAAAAGTTATTAGATCATATTATATTCAATTTTCACTTCAAATTATTTGACAAAACTTACAATTTTGCCAAAGAAATGTGACAAATTTTGCCTCGCTAAAGTGAAAAGGAGTGAGACAATTTAGAGATGTTGATATTATAGCTATTTATCGATAGTTCTTGCGATATATTTGAATTTTCGAGTGACCCTATCACAGAAATTATATTCAACCATCTGAAAAGTGGCAACACATGCGCTTGACAAAACGGTGGCAAGTCTAAAATCAGTTGTGAGTAGGTGATAAATCTATAATGCCACCTAAAAAGGATACGAAAGGTGGAAAGGATAACGAAAAAGGTGGCAAGAAACCAGCTGCGGAGGATAAAGGTATACATTGGATGCGCTAGTGATGGTCGATCCATATTCAGTTAAATGATTTGCAGGTGCCGGCAAAGAAAAGAAAGGCGGCAATGCGGTAAAGGTGCGACACATTCTCTGTGAGAAGCAGGGCAAGATTATGGAGGCAATGGAAAAGTTAAAAGCTGGTCAGAAATTTCCTGAAGTGGCAGCAGCCTACAGTGAAGACAAAGCACGCCAGGGTGGCGACTTAGGCTGGCAAATACGCGGAGCAATGGTTGGCCCCTTCCAGGACGCAGCTTTCGCTCTGCCGATATCCACGGTCAACAGTCCCGTTTACACAGATCCACCGATAAAGACGAAATTTGGCTATCACATAATCATGGTCGAGGGAAAGAAATAGTGATTTTACAAATCTTTTTTATTGTGAGCATATTTCTTTTTTTATAAAAACAAAAAATCAAGTTTACTTCTTGCCCGAATCCTCTTTGAGTCCTACGGTTCGATTGAACACAATACGGCTGCCAGATGTGTCCGGATCCACTGAGAAGAAGCCAATGCGTTCAAATTGGAACTTATCATAGACCTTTACATCGCTAAGCGATTTATCAGAGTACGCGTTGAGGACGACCATGGAGTTATCGTTAATATCGCTGAGAAATCCGCCAGGCACTTCATTTGTATCCTCGGGATTCTTGTGCTTGAACAGCTGCTCATATAAGCGCACCTCCAGCTCAATCGGCTGGGAAACCCATTGTACAAATGCCTTCGGCTTCTCGGACTGTTCGGCAGATTCGCTTTTGCAAACGAGCTCCACAACTTCGCCCGTGGCAGGATCACGGATAATTTCTTGTATGCTTATAACCAAACCTGCATGGCGTAAGCCGACAGATTGCTGTGGGGACAAGCGTCGATAACCCTTTTCTGGCTCCAATTTAAAGTCGCTGTGCTCAATGTAGATAACACGATCCAGGGTAATCTTGTGCGAACCAAGTGCTGGATTCTGCGGGAAGTTAGGAACTTCTAATTCCACTGGCCCCGCGTGGGGATAGTTGCTGATGGTTACTTTCAGTGGTTGTAAAACGATTAGTCGTCGTGGCGCGGTCAAGTTAAGTACATCCCTGACGGCGGCTTCAAGCATGGAGGGATCCACAGATATTTGTGCACCCGTCACGCCCATTTGGGCGCAGAAATTATTTATGGCCTCCGCGGGGTAGCCACGTCGCCGCAAAGCCGTCAATGTAAATAGGCGTGGATCATCCCAATCGTTCACAATACCTTCGGTAATAAGTTTGGCGATTTTTCTCTTAGATACGAGAGCATAGTTCATGTTCAGGCGTCCATATTCCCACTGGACGGGACAGTAGATGTTGAGAGCATTGCAGAGCCAATAGTAAGAGGATCGACGCGACTGAAACTCCTTGGTGCAGAGGGAATGGGTGATATCCTCGATTGAATCGCACAGGCAGTGCGTGTAGTCGTAGGTCGGATAAATGCACCAGTTAGAGCCAGTGCGATGATGCGGGATAAACTTGATTCGATACGCAACGGGATCTTGTTTACCTTCCTCAAGCGTTAGCTTGAGGCGCAGTGTGGCAGCACCCTCATCAATTTTGCCACGCTTCATGTCCTCAAACAGTTGCAGCGATTCTTCAATAGGTCGTTCGCGCCAGGGACTCGGGGGCGGATTGAAACCTTTTAGCTCATCCGCTTTCTGGTGACACACATAGGCCAAGTTCTTATTTATCAGTACAACTGCCCATTCATATAGCTGCTGAAAGTTGTCCGATGAGTATGTTATCTTGTATGGTGTGTAGCCGAGCCACTCAACCATGTCGCGAATCCCAACAAAAAACTTCTCCTCCTCTTTCTCGGGGTTGGTGTCGTCGTATCGCAGATAGCAGACGCCGTTGTGGGCAGCTGCGTAGCCAAAATTGATGTTGATGGCCTTGGCATGGCCAATATGCAGAATGCCATTTGGTTCAGGCGGGAAACGTGTTTGAACCCTACCACCTGTGCGCTTCA